AGTCCTTATCCACACACCTGGCCAGATTTCCCCTCTGGAATCCCTTCCCACTCTTCGTGGAAGTCTTTCTCTTCTTCTTTCCTTCTCTTTTCTCTACCTAAATAAAATCACTTTTCTACAACACTTATTGGGCCCGATATTTACTTTTATAAGCATACGGTGCACCAGCAGTGGTCCCATCGCTTATTCTTTAAGAGGTTGGAGAACCCAGCATTCTCTTGGGGGTGCTGTGCCTCAACAGCACCCAAGAAAAAACCCGGTTACATTATCTTTTTCATAGTCTGCCTGCAAACCAAATTTCTATTTTTAGTAGTTATTAGCAATCCTCTATGTTTCGCACATTTCATATGACTTTTTTACTTTCAGGAGGAAAAAAAGTCTGCTCACATATATGAATCTAATTTGTAATGCCCTCCCCCTTTTTAAGCTGATAACAACTTGATCATATTACATACAAAAAAAAAATTTTACTCCCAACCCCATATTTTGTTCAATAAAAAATTTACTTTTTTTAAAATTGTGTATCCTTTAACAGATTATTTTGGCTATAGTTTTGGCTTTTAACCTTTGTATTAGAGATATATAGCCTGGGACCACTGTTGTACATGGAGTCCATAATTGTAAGCCCTCTTGAAGAAAAGAACCTGTGCAGCAAAGAGGTCATTACTGATCACGTTACTTTGAAGATGTGTGAAATGTATACACAGTGAATTGTTCACTGACTTCCTCCTAATGAGCTGTACCTCAAGGGGTTCTCCCTAATCTCTGAGTGGGGAAGTGGGGTCAAAGATCCCAGGACTACTAAATATTGTGAGTGTCATCAACCCAGATCAAAACGAAGTAAGGCAAGCAACTGCAATTTTGCACTGAAAGGATTCTGATTCTGATTCTGATGTATACAGCCAATCACCAACCTTAAAGATCACCTTATCTCAAGCAGATATCCTGGTCACCTGTCATTCTGAAATATGCATAATGAGCCCATGCAAATTAGCATGAAGATGGCTTCAAAGCATGCTTTTTACACTTCCTGAAAAATGTGAAATTCACTCAGTAAGTTTCCCAACTGATGGAAGCATTTCACTAACAGAAGGTGGAAAAACCAAAACCTAATCTTTGTTTCAGGCTCATCATTCTTTAGATTACTCTTTTTGGGAATTTCAAGGGTGCAAACAGTCACTATTCATTGAGTATGTGACGACATTAAGGGTCTGAACTTAAAAGGCTTTTAATTTTGCCAGAAGCTACCCTCTGTCACTTCTCTATATCACACTTCCTTTCTTTTTGAGACAGAGCCTTGCTCTGTCACCCAGTCTGTAGTCAAGTGGCATAATCTCAGCTCACTGCGACCTCCACCTCCTGGGTGAAAGTGATTCTTGTGCCTCAGCCTATGGAATAGCTGTGACTACAGGCATGCGCCACCACGCCCAGCTAATTTTTTGTATTTTTAGTAGAGAAAAGGTTTCTCCATGTTGGTGAGGCTGGTCTGGAATTCCTGAGCTCAGGCAATCTGCCGGCCTTAGCTTCCCAGAATGCTAAGATTACAGGCGTGAGCCACCACACCCGGCCAACACTTTTCTTAAGAGAGTTATTTGGGCAAAATATATTCCCAGAAAAAAAGAACTGATTCTATATTCACTTAGGCAAAAAAAAAAAAAAAAATGATATTTGGCTCTGAGACCAAAAAGAATAAAAATTAGATCAGGAATCTACTTCATACATTAACAAACAAAACCAACCAAACAAAAAACCTGGCTATAATGGTAGGATCAAGTGGAAAGGCAAGGCAATAATCAAAATAAGAAAATCCTTATGTGAGGAGAACTTTGTACATAAACAGAAAGTTCAACTTGCATTCTATTCAACTATTTTTCAAAATATAGTTTCTAATTATAGATGTAATATGTACTCATTATAAAAAAATTTAAACACCTAACATTGTTAAAAATAAAAATCCCACCACCTATAGATTATAATAGCTTGGTGAATGCTTTTGCAAAAATTTTTGCTCTAGATGTATTATTTTTATTTTTTTGTGATGGAGTCTCACTCTGTCGCCCAGGCTGGAGTGCAGTGGTGCGATCTTGGCTCACTGCAGCCTCCGTCTCCTGGGTTCAAGCAATTCTCCTGCCTCAGCTCTTGAGTAGCTGGGCCTACAGGCATGCACCACCACACTCAGCTAATTTTTGTATTTTTGGTAGACAGGGGTTCACCATGTTGACCAGGCTGGTCTTGAACTCCTGACCTCAAATGATCTGCCCACATAGGCCCCCCAAAGTGCTGGGATTACAGGTTGAGCCACTGCCCCTGGCCGTTGTATGCCCTTTTAAAAACAAAAATGGCATGTTACCTTTTACCATTTAATAATATTATGGCAATATCTCAGTATCAGCGATTGTGGATCTTCACAATTATTTTTAACAGCCACATAGTATTTCACTATGTGGGAGTTATTCAGCCAACCTTCTCAATTTTGTCATACTAGAAACAATGTTGCGATAAACATCTTTGCATACATAACTTTGCTATTTGTCTCATTATATTTTCTTAGGGCAAATTCCCAAGTGAATTACTAGTTTACATGATACATAGATTTAAAAAAATTTTAAAAAGCTTTGAATTCAAATTGTTATCTAGGAAGGCTACCAGTTTACTGTTCCTAAAGATAAAATGTTGAATACTTATTTTCAAGTTCATCCTGTTCATTGCTGAACTTGAACTGTTTAAAAAATTGATTAAAAAGTTGATTGGGATGGGTGCAAAGACTTACTTGGCAATATGCTATATGGAAACATGCCTGAACCAGCAGAAATTCAGTGTCTGCTGGCCAGCTCACTTTCAGCCATTCCTAGCCCCTTCTTTACCCACCTTCATTATGAAGGCTACTTGTTTTCTCTGCCTCTGACATAATTTTGGCCAATAGTATGCAAACAGAAATGTGCTGGGAGCTTCTGGAAAAGCTTTGACTCTTTGGACAAAAAAGACAGACATACTGAAACTGTCCCTTCTAGCTATGGATGTAAACATACAGTCTGGAGCAATGGCTGCCATACTGCAACTATAAAGAAAAGCTGAATGACTTGTTCTGACCAATGTCAACAACAGGTCACTTGCACTGTGATATGAAAAAAAAAAGTCTCTGTTTAAACCAGAGGACCCCAACCCCTAGGCTATGGGCTGGTAGTGGTCCAGCAGGTGAATAAGCATAACTACCTGAGTTCTGCCTCCTGTCAGATCTGCAGCAGTGTTAGATTCTCACAGGAATGTGAACCCTATGGTGAACTTCAGGGATCTAGGTTGTAACTCCTTATGAGAATCTAACTAATGACTGATGATCTGAGGTGGAACAGTTTCATCCTGACCCCATCCATGGAAAAACGGTCTTCCACAAAACTGGTCCCTGATGCCAAAAAGGTTCGTACTGCTGGTTTAAACCATTCTTATTTGTGTTTTTTCTTACTTGAGGCTAAAAATATCACTGACAGACAAAACACTCATGCTAAAAAGATAAGCAATGGTTTCTGACTTATCACAAATGTTCATTCAGAAATGATCATTATGAGGAATATGGAAATAATTATAAACATTTAAAGAAACAGATAAATTAGCTACATATAGTAAATCATGGAAAAAACCTTTAATACTGAGAGCCACCAACACCATTAAATACACACTAGGAGAAAGGGACAAAGAAAGGAACAAAATGAAGGGGTGGGGTACATGGCAGAGGGTTACTCTGTTTATCAAAACCCCATTTTCTTCCTGGGCACACAATTAAACTACATTTCCCAACTTTTTTTTTTTTTTTGCAGTTGGTTGAAGCCACAAGATTAAGTCTTGGCTCATGGAATATGGTCAGAAGTGATGATGCCAATTCTGGGTCTGGCCCCTAAAAACTCCCATCTAATCTTTGCTCTTTCCCCATCTGCTAGCCAAATGAAGATTTTAAGCAAAATTACAGAAGGGAAAGAGCCTAGGTCCCTGAATTACTACATGGAGCAGAACTCCTCCTCGAACCTACTTATGACTGTAATAAAAGCAATGTAGTATTGAGTTTAGCTCCTGGGGTCAGAGGGTTGTTTTTTACAGCAGCTAGCATCATTTAGTCTAACAGAGGTGGGAATAGATGAACCAGAAAAAGAAAGAAGAAAAAATGATGGGCATATGGTATGAATGGTGAGTGCTATCTGATCTTTCCACAGGTTCCTCTGCCCTCGCCTACCTACTAAATAAATTACGCTGTTCCTTTTCTAACACAGATTGGAAACATTTTCTTTTCTTCTTTTTTTTTTTTTTTTGAGACAGGGTCTCAGTTGGTCACCCAGTCTGGAGTATAGTGGAGCAATCCCAGCTCACTGCAACCTCCACCTCCTTGGTTCAAGCAAGTCCCCTACCTCAGCCTCCCGAGTAGCTGGGACTACAGGTATACACAACCATGTCCAGTTAATTTTTGTATTTTTTGGAAGAGTCGGGATTTCACCATGTTGGCCAGACTGGTCTCAAACTCCTGACCTCAAGTGATCCGCCCACCTCAGCCTCCCAAAATGCTGGGATTACAGCCATATGCCACCGCACCCAGCCCAAAATTTTCAATAGCTAGGATAAATCATTTCTTTTCTAATTTTATTCTTTTGCTCCTTCCTAAATCTACTGTTTTGGGAGGCTTGATTGTCTTGACTAATTCTTTGGAACATTAGGATTTTTGAACATCAGATTGTGTTCCTGAGCAACTGATTAGGAAGAAAGTCTTTGCTAAAATTTAACATCAATTTAAATGCATCTTAAAATATATTAAAAATAATTCCTTGTTAAACAACGTTGACATTCTGGGATATACTCCAAATTAAGTTTTCTATATAACCAATAAATAACAGTTCAATCTGTATGCCTGTTCAAACAGTAGTGCAAAGTTAAAAACCAAGTACTTGGCCAGCTTGCCTTGTCCTAACATCTATGACATAGCTATTACTATCAAGTACGAAGACACATAAACCAATTGATAAATTATATATTACATGTTTATTAAGAACACAACTTTTATGTAAAATTTACATTTAATGAAAAAAATCAAAAATATTTACAAAATCTTGGAAGACAGATGTGCACTGTTTTAATTACAATCCAAAGTAGTAAATAACAATCCTTAAAAACTCACATTTGTTAGAGTTGTGTTTACAAATTCTTGGTTAAAGAGGCACCTACAAAGTTTATCACTATATATAAGCAAGAACCAGCTTGCAAGGTACATTTCCCACTGAAAATCTACCTGTCTCTTTGTACACCATTAGTGGATTTTTAAATGAAAAACAAAATCAAAACTCATATGGCTTCAAAATTGTAACCTGTAGCCAATACTTGGTATGAAGACTGTGGCACATTAAGAAAGTGCTGAAGTTTAACCATTTCACTAATTTGTACACTTTTAGGTAATACTTGATTAAAAACAAACATGGTGAGAACAGTGTCTAAATTCCAATAATAAAATATTAACTGCTCAATAAATGCAGTTTGATTGCAAAGCAGATTACAGTTAGAATTCTAGTAAGGGACTGCAATTGGCATTTAAAAGAGCACAATGTAAGAGTTAGAAATTCTAATTTTGCTCACTATTTAGTAAAGATTAGCATTTTAGCAAATTATCTTATGTGTTACTTTAGTCAAATCTAAATTTAGAATTGGGCTAACACTAAATATATAAAAAAGCACATACTGTCTTATATATTGCTAGAGAGTAGATTTTCTGCTGTATTTAGTATAGCAAGATGTTACATAAATGTCTAGTAATAGAGGTTTTATTTTCTGTGAAGCTTAACTGAACAATTAGTGATTTTATATAAATTATGTATAACACAATTTATCACTTATACTAGGAAAATAAAGGACATTCATATTTATATTATAAATGAAATTCCCATTTGTAAATTATAAAACCTTGTCCAAAATATTTTATTTCTTTAATTAATCAAGATTTGCTATTAAAGTTAGGTTTCTTACTATTTAGTATTGGTAGTTTATTTTTAGAAATGTTTAACCAAATATATCACTTCAAATAATTTCCCTATTTTTACCAAGAAGAAATTAAATAGGAATTAAAATGTACAAATTCGTAATTTTTCTGATTGTTGAAATAAAAACAAATGGCAGTGCTTCTCCTTCTGTTTCAAAATTAATCTATAAAATGTAGTCCTTACAAAATACCATAAAACTCATGTTCACAAAACAATCAGTAAATGTGTACATTTTCAATGACAAAGTGTCAAGGAAAATGTTAAACTGAGAATTAAAATACCAGTCACTAATTTAGCACTATAGTTTTTAGAATTTGTCTGTTTCAAAATTTACACACTTTTGATGAGGTTAATATAAAGTATCTGAAGGTAATTTTTTCTCCTGTAAACACATGCCACTGGGTTTATTTTCTCTTTCTAGTGGCTACAGTGTATCACCAAAGAAGTGAGCCAGGATTCTTAAGTAACCCTTTATGACTCTGAATTCCCTTCCCAATTGCAGGCCAAAAGTATTTACAAAAATTGCAAATATTTTGTAAAAGTGATTGACCACTGTAAGATTCTGAACAGAAGCTCCAGACTAAGAAAAAAAAGTGAGGCACATTAATGAACACAAACTGTATAGGCACATCTCTGGCTTATGTTATTGTTTTAAAAGGCACACATTATGCAATTCCATATAAAAATAAATTAAATCTACAGCATTAATTCATCGAAAAAAATCACAACTTCCATAAAGTTAACTGCAGAAGTAAATTTCTCTGCTGTCATTTGCAAGCTTATTTTAAAACACATTGCACTTGAGAATTTTTTTTAAATCACATAAAACATCACTTGTACTTTATTAACATGTTTATGAGAATCAAATTATAGATTTTTTGCATACAACTTGAACTCTGGTCTGATTACCTTATGGCACAACTCAATTTGATTGAGTGTTCTGAGTTAACATTACCCAAAACGAGAATTCATGTTCTATTTGTATCCACTGAATATCAAACTTACAAAATTTCAAAGTTATCTCTAACTCTAAAAATTTATGGAAAGCTAAATTACTTTGTGCTTGCTCTCCTGAAATTTTAGGCCTGATATTACACTATAACCCCTTTTTTCAATATAGACACTGGAAATAATTTAAAAGTTAAGCCTACAAAAACTTCATTTTTTTTCTGAGAATCTGAATAAATGTGCTTCCTGAATATTGCAATTGATCATTTACAACACAGAGAATCATTTCAGTACTATTTCTTTAAATGACTCACTTTAAAAGTGCGATTTAACGTTTGTAGTCAGCTCTCAAATATGTCTAAGTTTGAAAGACATCATACAAGTTAAAATAGTGTTTGGAAAGAACAGATAATGCAGAATGGCAGGTTTGTACTCCCTGGAGCCAAACCACTTTCCCAGGTCCATCAACAATCCGCCAGGTATCGTCCTGAAAAACACCAAGCAGACCTTCGCAATTAACAATTTCAAATGCACTCTAAGGACATTCTCCATTGTGGTTACCAATACAAAACTCTAGTTCCCATCTGCTATTTACAAGATGTTAGAATCAGATCACAGGTGTTCGGCTATATTGACCCTAAGTACTCTCTCTCCCAGGAGTGTCTCTACCTGGCACCTTGTACCAAGGGTTAAAGAAAAAATTTCCATGCCTTTAGATTATAAATTGCTTGACAGTTTTTCAGTAACTGTTAGAATATAAATGTTTCCCATGTACATGAAAAAGTTTAAAATCTTCTAACTTACCAGTGGCAAACCGCTTCTTTATTAAGGAAAGCCTATAGCCAGTGCCTACAAGTTCGAAATCTACTCCTGAAAGGGTACTTCCCTCACTGAGGAATTGCACTGCAAGTGTCGTGGGTTTACTAGGGCCTTCTGAAAGATCAAATTTTGCTCGGAGGGAACCAGAACCTACAAAGAAAAGAATAAAGAATTTACACAGGATAAAATACATTTCACACAAAACAGAATCAAATGAGCATGTAAGCTAAACTACATCAGTCCTGTGCTACACTCATGAGATAAGCACAGTGAACAAACCATTATCCTGTTTCCAAATCAGGTTTTTTTCAGTGCATATGAATTTTAATTAAGTAAATAACCCATGCTTTTCATTGAGTCAATACTAATCTTCAGAGACGTTTACTAATGGACGCCTATGCTATATGCACGTTGAGGTGAGTCAAAAGAGAAGAAGGAAGTAATTGAGGACAGCCCAGAGGAAAACGCTAGGAGGGATATAAGTGGCATAAAGTAAAAAAAAAATGTTGAGTACCAGATCATGGGAGTGGAAGAAGTAAAGATGGAAAGGTAACTGGTTGGGAAGAGTTGTATAACATTGCTATTTTCTATTCACTTTTCTTTTTAAAATTTTACTGGTCTAACATAAAGCCAAGTAGGTATTTCTGAGGTGTTTTGTTTCTGGTATCCCCACTTATTCAGTATACCTGTCTAATGGAATGGCAGGAACAGTAAACCAAAAATTATAATGAATATAATAAATGCTGTAAAGGAGTTCTGAGAAGCTACAGACACAAAGAACCTATCTAAGCTGAAAATTACAAATGGTGGTGGGGATGACAGTGTGTATTTTAGGCAGAAATTACCAAAGGTAGAGAGACAGAGCATGATGTATTTAAGAAAACTGCATCTGTATCACATTAGCTGGAGAACAGGATACAAGTAGAGGGGAGTGGCAGATGAGATTAGAGTGGCAGAACAGGCCAGGCCCTGGTAAGAAATTTATGATGTAACCATGCAGAATCACCAAAGATAAGGAAGACAAGGACATTTCAGATTAGTGTCTTAAAAGGGAAGGGAAGCACAAGATGCAAGGTTGGGAGACCAACTGCAAGTCAAAACAGTTTAGAACTCTAGATGTCTGGAAAGGGGGATCTGAACTAGGGCTAAGAAAAAGGAAAGATACTAAGAAAGTTATTTGAAAGCTATTTAGGAGTTGGAATCAAGAAGTGAGAAGGGAGGAGTCTAGGAGGGTTCCCAGTTTTCTGGGTAGAGCAAATGGACAGAAATGCTAGGTACTAGCAGTAAGATCCTGTGATCCCCTGCACAGAAGTTTAACACTACACAGATAAATGTAAAACAAGATGTCACAACACTGATCCAACTTGTATTATTGTGCTTGGTCACTGTAGATCAGTAGTGGAGAGGAACTGCTGCCTTATTCTTAATTACTGTCCAGGCCCTGAAAGCTTTTTCAATTCTTGATAAGCAATTTGGTTGTGCAAAAGTTCCACATAGGCCAAGAGCAACAACCTTAACAATCACCTTAGAACTATTCCTTGTCCCTCTTCTGAGTACAGAGTCAGTAACAGAAAACAGATTTCTATTTTACAGTATTGAGTCTGGCTCTGTCGCCCAGGCTGGAGCGCAGGGGCACAATCTCAGCTCACTGCAACCTCTGCCGCCCAGGTTTCAGTGATTCTCCTGCCTCAGCCTCCTGAGTAGCTGGGACCACTGGTGTACACTACCATGCCCAGCTAAGTTTTGTATTTTTAGTTCAGATGGAGTTTCACCATATTGGCCAGGCTGGTCTCGCACTCCTGACCTCGTGATCCACCTACCTCAGCCTCCCAAAGTGCTGGGATCACAGACATGAGCCATTGTGTCAGGCCTATTTTACAGCATTCTTATTTGGAAATTTATTTCTTTTTTTTGAGACAGGGTCTCCCTCTAAGGACCAGGCTGGAATATGGTGGTGCAATCTTGACTCACTGCAAGCTCTGCCTCCCAGGTTCAAGCCATTCTCATACCTCAGCCTTTTGAGTAATTGGGACTTTAGGCAAACACCACCACACTCGACTAATTTTTGTATTTTTAGTTAGAGACAGGGTTTCGCCATGTTGTCTAGGCTGGTCTCGAACTCCTGGCTGCAAATGATCCACCTGTGTCAGCCTCCCAAAGAGCTGTTATTACAGGCATGAGCCACCATGCCTGGTCTTGGATATTTCTTTTTAACGGCTTGACTAACCACATCAGAAGCCATATTTATAAGATTTCTCCATTTCCTCACACAAATACCTGATACCTGAATAGCAGAGAGACACTTAAAATCTGGTTAGAAAACTTGTGTCTTATTTTTGAGAGAACAAATTTGTTTGTAATTATTTACAATAGTATAGTTTCATTAAATTAGGGAAAATGATATCCTTTTGTCCTTCTAACTGGTTATAAGCCCTTAATGCAAATAGGATTTCTGGTTTACTTCAAATTAAACTAGGAATTTCAGCTTGGCTCACAGAACGCTATATATTAATAGCTAGAGTTAAAGTCTAATGTAGTTGGCCAGCAGAAAATGGGCAAACTGTAAGTACTAAGCAGCAAAAAAGAAACTTCAGATTTGCTTGGTTATCTCACCCAATGTATGGCTCTCCAGTAAAAGTCTATCTAACTGGAGACTAGGCACTGGGCGCGGTGGCTCACGCCTGTTATCCCAGCACTTTGGGAGGCCGAGGTGGGCAGATCACCTGAGGTCGGGAGTTTAAGACCAGCCTGGCCAACATGGTGAAACCCTGTCTCTACTAAAAATACAAAAATTAGCTGCGTGTGGTGGTAGGCCTGTAATCCCAGCTACTTGGGAGGCTGAGGCAAGAGAATTGCTTAAACCAGGAAGGCAGAAGTTGCAGTGAGCCAAGATCCTGCCACTGTACTCCAGCCTGGGCAACAGAGCAAGACTCCGTCTAAAAAAAAATAACCTGAAACAATAAGAAAAGTTATTGGAGACTAAAATTAGGCATTCAAAAAGGACAGAATTCTCTTTTAAGAGAAAATAAGACTATTTAATGTTAAAGACTTAGATATCCTGATAATTATATCCTTATTATAAGTTGAGTTATAGAACTGATCAGCTAGCAGAGCCTTTTCCTCAGCATTATGAACACAAACAGATGCAGACGTAGTGGGAGAAGGCATAACTTGCTTTTCCTTAAAAAAATCATTGGAAAATTGAAGGCTGTTGATAGTTAGCTTTAATAAGGGGAAATGGCCAGGAGAAAGGTTCTTTTAGAGAAATGGAGAAGGCAAGGGGGCTTTTTTTTTTTTTTTGAGACAACAGTCTCATTCTATCACCCATGCTGGCAGTGGCACAATCTCAGCTCACTGCCATCTCTACCTCCTTGGGTTCAAGTGATTCTTATGCTTAAGTCCCTTAATTAGCAGGAATTACAGGTGTGAATCATCACGCCCAGTTAATTTTTGCATTTTTAGTAGAGATGGGGTTTCACCATGTTGGCCAGGCTGGTCTTGAACTCCTGACTTCGAGTGATCCACCCACCTCGGCCTCCCAAAGTGCTGTTATTACAAGCATGAGCCATTGCACTGGTACGGCAAGTAAGCTTTTTTAAAGCCTGGAATCTTATAGATGATTTCTGGGAGGTCAGGAGAATCCCAGTAACAGAATGTTTAACTAAACTGTGTTAAATCAGTTTCAATTAGTTATCAGGTTACCTATGTGGGACAGATAGTTCTATTTCTTTAAATTTATTATTTTCTCTTAATGTTCGTATGTAAATATAAGAATTATTTACATAATATTTATAAAGTTATGGCAAAAGAAATTCTTTTTCTTACAGAGAACACATACTCAATCTAGAGGAACAAATGTGTTCTGAATCTCAGCTGTTCTATTCCTATTAAAGGGATTAACTTCCACCTAGTGGTCAGTTCTAGAACTGAAGGCAAGAAATTCCAGGAGGAAATTACATAAACATGCCTTTAAAAAAATCCATTTTGGGTGACATAATTTTATAAACAAAAAAAAAAGCACACACTTACCTCCATTTTCTGATTTTTCTGAAATACTGGATAATTTCCAAAAGGCTTTCATTTGTTCTGCATTCCTGCAATAAAAACCGGTATCTTCAGGTTTTGTGCTAGTATAGTACCTGATACATGGACAGGACCTCAATAATAAGTGTATTTTAAATATTTTCACAACAAATATAGTGCTAAGTTTAAGTAGTATTAATTGTTAAAAATGCATTTATGATATAGTATAAATATAGTGCTAAGTAGTATTAACTGGTGAAAATGTGTTTATGATATAGTGTAAATAAATATAATGCTGTATCTTTTTCAATTAATGGAAGTTTACCAATTTATGTAATTCTTCTCATTCCTATTGGCCAGAGAAAGTAAACTGGAATGCGTATAGGGATCAGTACCTTCATTAGTCAAGGAAGACACGTTATTAAACGAAGTAACTATAAAGAGTGGTTAGAGTCTATCCTAATACTAACAGAGGGGACAAGAGAAGTGGTTAAGAGATAGGAGTAACTATTAAACACTAATTAGACAGGTGTTCCTGTTCCTATAGATATGCAAGATGCTATATTTAATTCATAAAAAAATTACCTGTATTTTTTAAATGGAAAAAAAAAGAAGTTGAGAGAGGTCAAGCACTTTGCCTAATGGTAAGGTTAGCATGGAATCATTCAAATCTCAGTGGTGCAAAACTAGTTTTGTTGATTCTGGATTAAGGTTACGATGGTTTGACTAGTAAAATAAACTGCATCTTTTAAAGCATGGTTTCTAGGGGAAAAGGCACTAAAACTTTTTAAACTTCTAAGAAGACTTACAGAACCTGGGTTCTAGAAGTTTGGGATTACAACAAAAATTTAGTGGGAATTCAGAAATACATGTTTAACTTACCATATTGCAGGGGGAAGGGACTGCATGTTTGTTACTCCTCCATCTACTGGTACTACCACCTGTATGTTAGAAAGCACACTAGGTGCCACCATAGCTTCTGGATTGTATTTATAATCTACTCTAACATCTGTGGTGTTAGCACTACATTTCCAGTATGTTGCAAGATTCAGCGGAGTGGACTGAATACCATTTGATGACACCTTTAAAGAGAAAAAAACAATTGTTTTTGGCCTGAAAAGTTAACAAGTCATGTTAATGCCATGGACACTTGTCATACTAGTCCACAGAATCGAAAATAGCTAATGAGGGAACTATCTGTTGGCAGAGTAAAGCAGACCCATCTCAAAGGATTAAGGGTCACTCTCAATGTGTGGACCTACTACAACCTACATCAAAATTGCTGAGGTACCTGTTTATAATTTATAATGCACATTCCCTTAGCTCCAACTGCAGAAAATCTGATTCAACAGCTTGGGGACTGGGCCCAGAAATCAGCATTTTATCAAGAAATTCTTATTTATGCATGTAAAGTATGAGAATTTTTAAACATTCAACACAGAATTCAAAGATTCTTCATGAATTAAAAGAACTCAGATTTAGAACACTGAGAAAAAAGGTCACTATACAGTACCTCAACCCTGGAATTAGAATACTTCCTACCTCAAATGTTTAACTTTAATCACATGACTCACAGTAAACAGTATAATTCCTTCAAATTCTTAAGCTCCTTGTCCAACAACTCCTTTTTAAGGAGATCTACTCTGACTGCTGTTTAAATTTACACTGAAAATTGTATTTTCAATCTTCCTTACCTTAGTCTATACTTTTTCTTTTTTCCGTATCATAACTAACACAGAATTTTATTTTCTAACATAGAATGCTATTATTATTATTTTGAGGCAGGGTCCCAATCTGTTGCCCAGGCTGGAATGCAGTGGCATGCTCAAGGCTCACTGTAGCCTCAATCTCCTGGGCTCAAGCAATCCTCCGGCTTCAGCCTCCCTACTGACTGGGACTACAGGCATGTGCCACCACAACTGGATAATTTTATATTTTTTGTAGAGATGGAGTTTCTTTATATTGCTCAGACTGCTCTTGAACTCCTGAGCTCAAGCAATCCTCTTGCCTCAGCCTCTCAAAGTGCTGGGATTATAGGCAAGAGCTACCATGTCTAGCCCATAGAATATCACTTATCTTTACTGTCTCCCTGTCCTACTCCCAGCAATTACATACACTGAATAATACCTAACTGTTGAATAAATAAACACCTGTAAGAAACTTTAAATCAATTTCAGTGGCAGCACTTTTTTATTCTTTAAGTATTTATTTTCTAGAAACATAGCCATTTTAATAAAATTACCCTATTAAAAACTCAAACAATAGAGAAATATAAAGTAGGAAATTTATCCCTTGCAATTTTTGCTCCCACAGTTAGCATCCTGCCAGACTCTTTAGGCATATGCAAACATAGATCCATGTCATTTTTTTCAATGGCTATAGTAACTCATTTAATTTCTTCCTCTGCTGATGTGTATGTACTTAGGTGGTTCCTAAACAATGCTATAGCAAATATCCTTTGTGTCGTATCTTCACACAATTGTGTATTTCTGAAGATTTCTTGAAGTGGAATTGTTGAATTAAAGGTTACATCTTTCAACAATCTAACAGAATTGCCTTCTAAGAGGTTTTACTTGCACACTATTCACATGTGATCATACCCTTCTTGATACTGGATAAAGCAATCTTTTATTTTTATAAATCTGATGGGCTAAAACTGGTATCTCATTGTTGTCTCAGTATTTACTGCTCTCATTACTATTGACATGGAGCATCTTTCCACAGGTTATCTGTCTATTGAGTTATTCGCCTGTTACTTGGAAATTTATAAGGGCTCTTTAGGGTAAGCCCTTTGTCCATCTTATGTGTCATAAATACTTTTCCCTCAGATCTAATATTCATTGTGTTAAGGGTATAACCAAATATTTTATACACACACACACATTTATTTGTCAAACATCTCATTCTCTTCTTACATGGCTTCTGGGTTTCATATCATACTTAGGTCGTCTGTACTTCAAGATTAAAATATGTAATAAATATTTATTACATACACACACACACACACACAGATACATATATGGTTGTCCCCAGTATAGTTGGGGGGTTGGTTCCAGGACCCCTGTATATATACAAATCTGTGCATACTCAAGTCCTGAAGTTAGTCCTGTGGAACCCACGAGTAGAAAAAGTTGGCCCTCTGTTTATACCTGGGTTTGGCATCCCACAATTACTGTATTTTCGATCAGCGTTTGGTTGAAAAGAATCCTCGTATAAGTGCACCTGTTTAGATCCTTGTTTAAGTGTCAACTGTATCTTCACCCATTACTTTATTTTAGTACATTTATGGTTTCTTTTATTATTATTAAATGTTTGATACACGTGGATTTTATTTTGGCTAAAAGTGTAAGTTAGGGATTCAGCTTAATTTGTTTCCCAAGTGTCTAGCTTGCTATCCTCAATATCATTTATTGAAAAATTCATCATGTGCACATTGCCTTGAAATGCTACTATGTCGTAAACCATTTTCCATTTATTCTTAGATCTATTTCTGGATACTCTTATTTCATTCATCTGGCCATCTACTGCTGCATTAGTTCCAAAAGATTTTAAATACTGTTGCCTTATAATAAGCTTTCCCATTAAAGCTAAAATATTACTCCACTTTACTGTTTAAAACATTTCTTGCCAGGAGCAGTGGCTTGTGCCTGTAGTCCCAGTTACTCAGGAGGCTAAGGCTGGAAGACTGCTTGAGCCCAGGAGTTTGAGACTGCAGTGAGATATGATCATGCTACTCTATCCTGAGCAAGAGAATGAGACCCCGTCTCTTGAAATTAAAAATTCTTGACTTATTCTCTTAAGCTTTATTCTTCCAGAGAACTTGAAATGACTGTCAAGCCTCCAAATACAAACACATAACTCTACAGGGCTTCTGATCAGGATTATATTAAATGTATAAGTTAATTGAGAATTAGTTAAATTTTTACAACATAAATCTTCCAATATTCAAGTCACTAGAGATTGTGTTATGTTTCTTCCTAATTGTTTTACTGTGAATATTTTCCTCTACTAGTTTTTCTAATTGATTTTGAAAGTTATTAATTTTTATATTAATTTCTGCCAACCACCTTATTAAATGCCCTTATGTCAAATAGTTCTTCAGCTGGTTTTCTTGACTCTTCCAGGAATATATCACCTGTAAGCAGTAATAATTTTGGTTCTACTTTCTGAGTATTTATTACTGCTTATTTTATTCTCTTACCTAACTGTACTGGCTAACATATCCAGAAAATTCATATATTAACAGGATCTATTAATGGGCATTAAGATACACTAATGGGTATCTTTGCCATTCCTAACTTTGATTACTTTAGGAGTTTCATTGTTAAGACTGACACTGGTGGTCTTTTAAGGTTAAGGACAAGTTTACACATATTTACTCAGTATTTTAATCATGAATAAATGGTGAATTTTACCAAACTGGTCAAAATCTCCACTGCCTTACAGATTTTCTAATTTCAAAACATCCCTGACTTTCTGGAAAAAAAAAACTCACTTGGCTATGACATACGTATTCATTTAATTATATGCTAGATTCCAATTGTTAATATATTAATTTAGAATGTTTACAAGGACATGACACTCACCTGATACTTTAATACATCTATATTATAATAAGAAGCAGCTGGATTTTGCTCTGACAGCTTCTTGAGGTAGACAGTAACAGCTTGCATGTTCATCCAAAAATCTTTTGTGTTGCAATCACATTGTGATGGATCACTACACGTATGACAAATATATTTGTTATTTTATTTCACTTATTTTTATCTTTTGCCTCTGTGTAGTAATTTGGTGACCTGGGAAAAAAACTAGTAGAAATAAACCAAGAGGTAGGATGAAGGAAAATTAGATCAGGGGATGAAGAAGGAAACATAGTAGAAGCTTGCTTGAAAGATGAGAAGATGGAGAGATAGAAAAGAATCTTAAAATAACAATTAGCGCCACCAAAAACAAAAGAAAAAAGATAGCAGACAGGTGATTAATAAAAATAAATAATTTTAGTACTGTTTTCAAATTGAATATTATTATTTCAAAGAAGAAGGGGAAAAATTTTTTTTTTGAGACAGGGTCTAGCTCTGTCACCCAGGCTGGAGTGCAGTGACACAATCTCGGCTCACTGCAACCTCTGCCTCCCAGGCTCAAGTGGTTCTCCCACCTCAGCCTACCAAGTAGCTGGGACTACAGGAATGCACCATCACGCCCAGCTAATTTTTGTACTTGTTTTTTTTGGTAGAGATGCGGTTTTGCCATGTTGCCCAGGCTGGTTTCAAACTCCCGAGCTCAAAGAGATCCACCTGCCTGAGCCTCCCAAAGTTTTGGGATTACAGCAGCGAGCCACTGTGCATGGCAAGAAAACATTCTTAAAAAGATATTTCAACCTTCAAAACAAAAAGTACACAAACCTGAACACAAGCTGTGCATTTGGAAGAATCTGCTCTAGTCTGCTGATATTTTTCAACCTGAAGCACAACACAGCTGGAGTGGGATTGCTGGTGAAGACTTTAATAATTCCACTTGGAAATGACATTGTCATGTCACCAGTGATCTTCACGATACACCTAAAATGGGGATATTTTTAGAAGTGTTTAAATAAAATGCTTTAATGTCCACTACACACACACACACACACACACCTATATATATCCTTTATCATAATTATAAATTATCTTTTCAATTTAATTATTTAAAATTATATACATGAAATGGTATATTCACCTAGCATCATCGTTTCCTGGAAATGCAAGCACTTTGAGAATGTTGCTTCACTCTTTTGTGATAACCATTCCCTGCCTGACCTGTGAGGATGTTGCTTTTCTTATAATGCTATCCCTAGTTGTAGCTATTTTTCTCTTCCAAACCCCACAAAGCACTGGGCCTGGTGATGGCAGATATCCCCCTTGCTCCTCATTGCTTCTTCCAACCCTCTATTCAACCGGGTTCCATTGGTAATCTTATCACATTCCCAAATCTATTAACTCTTTTTTTGGTCTTTTCATAGCTTCCCCTTTTATCTCTAACCTGCAATAGTCCTTCCGCCCACTCTTAGCTGATGACTGTGCTCTGAATTTTACTGAGGAAATAAAAAAAATGACTTGCTCATACTCTCACTAGTAAATCTACCTAACTTTTTATCCATATCTTCTTCTGCCTTCCATACTGTTTCAAAAGATAATCAATTTCTGCACCTCAGGCCAATCTCAGCAATTCTGCACTGGAACTCATTTCCTTTTTTTTTTTTTTAATATATTTTATTGCACTTTAGGTTCTAGGGTACATGTACAGAACATGCAGGATTGTTGCACAGGTACATACATGGCAATGTGGTTTGCTGCCTCCACCCCTCCATCACCTATATTTACATTTTTCCCCATGTTATCCCTCCCCAACCTCCCTACCCCTCACTGTCCATCCACTATTCCCCCACAACAGACCCCAGTGTGTGATGCTCCCCTCCCTGTGTCCATGTGTTCTCATTGTTCAACACCTGCCTATGAGTGAGAACATGCGGTGTTTGATTTTCTGTTCTTATGTCAGTTTGCTGAACTCATTTCCTCTTATACACTGAAGGACTTCATTCATGTGATTGATCCCCTCTTTTCTGCAGGTCCATTTTTTTCTGTAAATACTGTTTCTTTCATTAGCACACATATATGCTGACATATATATCATATTCAAAAAAACACAAAAACGAAAATAAATAAAACCGTCCTTTGATTTCACCACCTCACTCCTGCTACCATTCCATTTCTCTGCTCTCACTTAGGGCAAAACATCCTGAAATAACTGCATCTGTTCTTTCCAAATATAGTTGTCTAGACTACATCAGTTTCAGCCCCTGAACTCCCTCAAAGCACACTTTCATCTTCACTATGCCACTAAAATCTCTCTTGTGAATGTCACTAATGACTTTCCATATTGTCAATGGTCAATTTTTCTTGACTTGTCAAGCAGTATCAGATATAGTTTCACATGTGCCATCAAGAAATGATTTATTCACTTAGTTTCTAGATGCGGATCTATTAGTCCTCTCCTCACCTCTCTTGCTGCTTGCTCTCTCAATTTCCTTTTTAGATCATTGTCATCTTCCTGTTTTCTAAACACTGGAGGTTCAAGACTTAGTTTTCAGATCTCTTTCCTATCTACTCCTTAAGGCCACTAAGTTTGAGTATTACCTTACAAACTAATTAATTATATTACCAAATACTTTATCTCTAGCCTAGACTTAGTTTTCAGATCTCTTTTCTATCTACTCTTTAAGGCCACTAACTTTGAGTATTATCTACAAACTAATTAATTATATTACCAAATATTTTATCTCTAGCCTAGACTTAGTTTTCAGATCTCTTTTCTATCTACTCCTTACGCCACTAACTTTGAGTATTATCTACAAACTAATTAATTGAATTACCAAATATTTTATCTCTAGCATAGACTTCTTGAACTCCAGAATCATGTATCCAAGTATCAACTCAACATTTCCACTAAGATGGCTTAAACTTCAAACTTAGCATTTGAAGTTCAACCTCCAACAAATCTTGACAATTCCATTTTCAAAATATATTCAGAATCTCATTAGTACTTATCACTTACTCTGCTAATACTGACATACAAGCCACCATAATCTCTCACCTGGACTTCTGTAATTAATCTCTAACTTTCTCTCTCCATCTATTCTGACTGCCTACCGCACCCCTCTGCACCCAGTTTATTCTCCATAGAGCAACTGGAGTGCTCCTTTGAAAACATATGTAATTTCATCGTTCCTCTGCTAAAAGCCTCTACTGGCTTTCCATATTACTCAAAATAAATTCCAAATTCCTTATCATGGCCTACAATGCCTAACTTGGTCTCCTACCTCTCCAGATTCATCTTCAAGTACTCTCTCTCCTGTTTACTCCTACTCAGTGACATGGTTTTCCTTGCTGTTTCTTGAATATACCAAATATGCTTTTACTTTGGTATCTTACACTCACTGGTTCCCTCTTCCTGGAATACTCTTTCCTCAGATATCTGCATGTCTTGCTCTTCCATGCCTTTCAACTATCTGCTTAAATTAACCTTAAAAAAGTTTTCTCTGATCATTCTATCTAAAATAGTAGCCCTTTATCTAATGTTATTCTCTAGCCTCTAACCCTGGTTTATTTTTCTTCATAGTGTGTATCAATACCCAATATATTCAGTTGTTTCTTTGATATTTAGTGTCCCTCACTATAATGCAAGCTCAGGAGAGAACTCTGTTTACTGAAGTATTCTTAGTGCACATATAACAGAGTCTGAGAAATAATAGGTGCTCAAGTATTTGATGAACGAATGTACATTGACTGCAATCATCAAATGACTATATTAGATAGCAAAAAAACAGGTAAATAAATAACAGAAAACTGTAATTTACATAGAATCAAAATGTAATTCTTAAAATTTACCACCAAGCCTCACCGCCTCCCCTACCCAACACACATACATACACATACAAGTACATATTTTAAAAACTAACTTGGTGGGATCTGCTCCTTTAAAGTAGGCATTAACAGATTCTGTAAGGGCGACTGCTACAGGCAAGGTGTCCTGATTTCCAAGGCTGACAGGGCTGGGACCCCGTGACACACCTAGAATATATACAATTAATTTGTTAAATCCTTCAGAAAGACATAAATATGAAGACAGTTAGATTCATATTGTTAGGTTATCACAAATGACCCTATTACTGGTTTCAGTGATGTCCCATGTATAAATCTGGAGGCTAAGAAATAAAGCATACAACAAACTGGAGCATAATACAAAGGACAAAAAAAAACCCAGGAAGACATGTCACACAGACACTTCTTTTAAATGGAAAGACAGAATGGTTAAACAACATCAGAATAAAAAAGCCCTTGACTTAAAGAGCTAAAATTACAAAAATATGGTTTCAAAAATATTCAAATACCAAAGTCTTCCAGATTCTATCAATCATTCTTCAGGGCATAACTGAAGGCCAATTTAGGATTTTTGTATTTATTTCTATCCAAGTAGTAATGTTTCTTACACTACTCATTATCATTATAATTCTCGTTAACATCCTCTTTGTCTGGTGTTTATACTGTATTCCCACATTACTTTGTCTTAATAAATATCTGACTAATAACACTACTTAAAGGAAGATCAGTGTCTATGGAGCAAAATTAAAATGTAAACAAATTTATGCAAGTGTTCAGGTTTTTATTGTTTTAAATTTAACCTAAATAAAGTATCCCCTCAAAACAGTGCATTCCCTTTGTTTTTCTTCACAAACACACTCTTCTTACTACTGTGTGCCTTACCACTACTGCTACTGACTTTCCAAAGTGGGGGCATTTCACTTAATATATATATAATGCAGTTTTACAAAAATATATGAGTTTATCATTATTCATAATTTCACTTAGGGAAATAAAAAAATGAATAACCTAGGTCAAGACTTATCTCTGAAATTTGAATATATGCTTTTCTTATATAAATATTACACAATGTTAACAGGTATTAGACATTCTTATTTCAGATGCAACTCCTATGTTGAAACACTGAGTTGCTTCTGAGATACCTTAAATATTAATTCTGATAAAAAATCAGTACTGGCTTTCTCCACCTCACAACTAAATCTGAGGTGCTACAAAGAGTGAAAAAAGATACTGTTACAGCTTGGTATTCTAGATTTTGAAGGATTTTTTATTTAGAAGGTTCTTCACAGTTAAAAAGTTATTCACAAAATCACAACAGCTACTATTTATTAACCACTAACATGTGCCAGGCACTTTGCCAGGGGGACATGAAAAAAAAATGGTGTCTTTTTGAAGCACAAGTACTAGCTTTGCAAAGCAGAAGCAAAACAAACAAAAAATGTGAGGGATGGGCTGGAGTGGAAAGGAGACCAAGATGAGGCTGGAAAAGTGCTCACGATCCAGATTAGGGTGTGAAAGACCTTTAATTTTGTCCTTTTGTCACTAGAAACCATTGATAATGTTTGAGAGAAACGTTATTAGGTTTTTATTTAGTAAGATCTCTCTGAACACAGAGTAAATCCTAGATTGAAGGGAAAAATGACTATTGGCAGGGAATCAAGTTTGGATCAGGTGAGAGTGGTTAGGTGAAAGCTAGAGACCTGATCAAGTGTCATTAGTTTTGGGATGTGAGAAAATATCAAGTCAAAAAAGGCATATTAAGTACAAATTTACTGATTATAATTATAAAAATATATGTGTTTACACTGGGAAATTTCACTATAAATCTAACTTAGCTCAATCCACTTTTTTCCCTAATGTATTGTTCTAAATAAGAGGGTCATCAGAAATTCAGGAAAACATATTTTCTGAAAAAGACAAAGGCTGTAACAATCTTTTCTCTCCAATTTTGTAACTGTGGTAAAATAAACATAACACAAAATTTAGCATCTTAATCATTTTAAAGCATACAGTTCACCGGTATGAAATCTATTCATAACATTGTGCAACAACCACTATCATCCATCTCCATAACTCTCTTCATCTTATAAAATGGAAACTCTATACCTATGAAACAACAACACCCACCAGTTTCCCCAGTCCCTGGCAATCACACCATGCTACTTGCTGTTCCTGTAAGTTTGACTACTCTAAGTACTTCATATAAGTGGAAACATAAGTATTTAACTTAGCACAGTGTCTTCAAGGTTCATAGCATGCTAGAATTTCCTTCCCTTTTAAGGCTGAATCATATTCTATTGTATGCAAATACCACGTTTTGCTCACCCATGCATGCAACAATGGACACAGGTTGTTTCTACCTTTGCTACTGTCAATAGTGCTGCTAAAAACATGAGTGTATAACTATCTCTTTGAGGTTCTGCTTTCAATTCTTTTGGGTATATACCCAGAAGTAGAACTGCTGGATCTTATGGAAATTCCATTTTAAATTTTCTGAGGAACAGCCATACTGTTTTCCACAGCAGCTGTACTATTTTATATTCTCACCAACAATGCATAAGCATTCTAGTTTCTCCACATCCTCACCAACATTGTTACTGCAATACTTTTTTTTTAATTAAAGAAAATTATATTCTCTTAAATATGAAATTAATATATTCCCTGGCCAAGGTGTACTGGCTCACACCTGTAATTCCAGTACTCTGGGAGGCTCAGGTGGGAGGGCTACTTGAACCCAGGAGTTTGAGCTGATAGTGAACTATGATCACATCCCTGAATTTCAGTCTGGACAATGGAGTGAGACCCTGTCTCATTAAAAGAAAAGAAAGTCTCTTGAGTATCTCACACAAATGAATATTTATATAAAGCCAGTGGTAACATTAATGTCTACTACCGCTTTGACATGAAAAATTAAAGAAACCTGCATAAATATTCTTTTCAACAATCTAATCTGGGCACTTAACACAAGAATTCTTGAAATAGCTTCCCTGTAAATTACTACACTATTACTGAAACATTGGCAAGGAGAGAAAAGTATTGGAAAGTTGAAGGAAAAAACCCACTTAACATTTGGCATATTCCTTTTTGTATTTTCTATTTTTGTTTCTCTTTCAAGATCATTTAGCACATGGATACTTCAAAAAAATGATTAGGAAATATGTACTTAAATAGTCTTTTAAAAAATCTAAATGTATACTGCATTATTCCAAAGAATTTCTTAGAAATAAAAATTTGTTTTCTTAATAAGGATAAGGATAGATTGTAGTTTCTAATTTTGGTTTAATTTACATATTATATAATGTATATTATACAATGTATATATAATATATATAATGTATATATATAAATTAAATAATAATATATAAATTAAATCATAATTTATACATATTATATAATATATATAATAATAAATTTATACATATTATATAATGTATATTATATATTTTCTAATTTGGTTTAAATACATATTATATAATGTATATTACATATTTAGACAATTTTATGTTTTGAAAACGTAGACAGCTTATGACCTTGAAGTATGTAACAGGTACAGGGTACCTTCTTATAACAATCAATGGATATTTATGTAGAATTCCTTTCCACTCAGAAATAAAACAGAGACTCACTCCCTACTATCTCCTATCTCCATGCTTCTAACTTCATCTGTATGGTTTTCGTATATGATAGCCTTTGCTCTACTAATTTAGGTAATAGAGTATTTTTTTTAACTGACACTCTTTTTACTTCTTTTTAGACCACTTCTTATCTGATTTTGATAGTTTTAAAATTAAGATTTATTAATACTTCTTAAAGCTGAGTTGAGGAAAGCAGAGAAGAAAATGCAAAAATACTGTGTTTTTATAGCTGGGGATTTGATATAATGGATCCTGTGCAACAACTTGATGGAATTAGCACAAAACTGAAATAGTTAATCTTATCATAATTCTTGATTTCTGAGACACCATACACTTCTGGAAAAGGAAAAGTTAGGTAACAAAATATTTTAGATACACTTAAGGATCATTAGTCAACACATACATTTTCTTCTGATACAATACCTGGTGACGTCTCACAGTGCTTTTCAATTTCAGAGAGTGTCCCAATCAAATTATCATCTTCTATTGTATTTAAATAAAACAAAATAATGCAGAGAAAGAAAACATTTTCAAGAAACAAGAAGAATCAGAAACTTAAATCTAAACAGTGCTGAATAATCGTGGCAAAGAAAGAGAACTTTTTAGGTAGATTTTAAAAATCTTTGTTGTACAAAATTCACATAAAACCTGCCTTGCCTATATTATCGCTGTCACCTGCTTTTGGTTGTCCTATTGCCAGCACTGGGTCAAACCATAAACAAATATGTGCCAATTCAATAGAAATTAAAGTTTCCATCACAAACAAACAAAAAACTTCCTGAATAATCTAAAGATAATGAAAAAAAGAAAAAACCACTAAAGCTAAAATAAGGTTACCCAGACCACCTGCCTGATTTCTAGTAGGTCCCAGTTAGGTTTTTTAGGACTAACGTTAGATTCTTTGGGAAAAAATTACAAGATGGAGAAAATGCTATGTTCACAAAGGTACTAAGATGGTGACATCATGTTTAGACATTTAGACATCAAACCATTTTATATTTAATTCTAGCCTATATTACTTACCCTCTTTTTACAATGGCCACATACAAGATGCATTTCTCCTATGTGAGCCTCAATAAATTAAAGTGAAATTAAGTCAGCTTAATTGGGGCTGTGGTTATCAAACTCAGTTGATATTAAAATTAGAGTCACCTGTAAGGCCTGTTAAACGATTACTAGTTCCACTCCCAGGGTTTCTGATTTTTAAAATCTACATTTCTAAGAAGTACCCAGGTGATGCAGATGCTGCAGGCAGTTCCAAGGACCTCACTTTGACCATTACTGAATTAGTGCTCAGTTAGTGCAAATCAGTGATTTGCATTATCAAGAATAAACCCATCACTACCTAAAACCAGTTGCAGTAAGTACAATTATAATTTTGATGAGAAGCTGTTGCTCCTGCAACACAGGTGCTTTGTCTAAGTGGTTTTGTGCTTTATTATCCTAACAATGGGTGAGAAAGGTACTAAGAATTTGTAGGAAAAACTGAGAAGTGATGACAAAAAACTTTTGAGCAAAGTCTAGATGTAAAATACTGAAGTTGTTTGATGAGGTTTAGGTTCATACAGCTATGCCTAAGACAGGGATCCTCAACCCTCAGGCTAGTACCCAGTCGCACAGGAGGTAAATGTCATCTGTATTTACAGTGCTCCCCCACCATCATTGAATTACAGCCTGAGCTCTGCCTCCAGTGAGATCAGCAGTGGCATTAGATTCTCATAGGAGTGAGAAACCTATTGTGAACTGCACATGTGTGGGACCTAGTTTGCATACTCCATATGAAAATCTAATGCCTGATGATGTGTCATTGTCTCCCATCACCCCCAGATGGGACTGTCTAGTTGTAGGACAAGCTCAAGGCTTCCACTGATTCTACATTATGGTGAGTTACATAATTATTTCATGATGTATTACAATGTAACAATAATAGAAATAAAGTGCACAATAAATGTAATGCACTGAATCATCCTGAAATCATCCCCTTGAACCCAGTCCATGAAAAAATTGTCTTCCACAAAACCAGGCACTGGTACCATCAAAGGTTGACGACCACTTACCTAAGGGCTATTTTTAAGTCTTGAAATTCTTGTAGAAAAATATAATTCACTGCAAGCACAAACCTGTTTTCATTCAATCATTTTCAAAACACTACTGTTTTTAAAACATAAACTTTCTAGAAATGCAACTATCAGTTCACAGTAAGGAAGAACTGCATTTCATTTTGCCTTCAACTATTTATATTGATCAGCAGTTCATAAATTTGACTCATTCTTAACAGTGCTAACCACAGTTAAAATTCTTTTATCCAGACAACATAGACTGTCAACAGAAAAGCAAAGCATGGACAGTTTAATAAACTCCAGGTGTGTTTCCAGAAAAACAAAATTTCTAATGTTAAATTCTTCATTAGCCCATTAAAAAATATATACATATTTAGCATACATATACTTTGTATGCTACATTTCACATGTAATTGATGATAACCACTTACCTACTGTTGGAGTATTGGCAGCACTCAATGAAGCAGATGATGAGATAGAAGAAGAACTTTCTGCCCGGGCTAAGGGTGCAGCAGGAGGTGGGCTGGTGTTGGAAGTTACAGGTGGGCTGAATGGCCTGGGCTTAAAAAAAAAAAGTTATTTATCAAAATGTTAAAACAATACCCCTCTTGTTACAGAAGATTTTTAAGTATCAGGTAAATTTAACATAAAAAAACAAATCTACTGTGTGCGTTTCTTGTAACTTAGTATCAGAGATGCTATACATCAAAGCATTTTTAAGAACATACCAAAGATTGAAAAGGTTATTTTTAAATAATGCTGTAAAATGGGTCTTGGTGCATAAAAATTTTTCTGTATTTAAAAAGGTATGCTTAAGATAGATTCTCAGAAGTTAAATTAGTTTAAACAGTATAAACGTTCTTCTTCCCAAATTGCTTTACCTGACTGACTATAAATAGAGAAAATTTCTCTACACCCTTGCCAGCAATGAATGGATGAATCACAGAAGAAGAAAAAAAATGATTAAAAATTTCTTATAGCTAATTTGGAAAATAAAACCTTCACTTTTATGAATGGGTTGATGTAATTTAGGGAGGTTTTAGTATTATCTGAGCTTTCACTAACCCTTTGCCTTATTTTCTTGCAAATATTTTCCTCCTTAAATATTGCTTGTCATTTACACTTTTGGTGTTTACAAATCTGTTCACATTTTCCTCTGTACTTCCTTGTAATGCTTCCTCATTGAGAAAACTCATTCCAAACAAAGGTTTGAGACTCAATTCTGTTGTCTTCCCAATTTTCTAATGAAACATAAAACAAATATGAAAAATATAACTCCAATTCATTTATCTTTTACTTTGGTGAATGGATTTTTTTTTCCTTCCAAATTCCTAACTGTACCAATAAATCATTACCAACACTTCCTGAGGTGTTTTGCTTTCTTAAAAAATAGGCATATTTGTCTTAATTTAAAAAAAAAAGCTTTTTTCTGCTTATAAAATTATCAGGTAAGTAGATATTTATTTAGTTGCCTACTATGTCCCTGGATTAGGCACTAGATACAAAGCAGTGAACAAGAAAGACAACTGTCCTCAGTTATTTGAGGAACATGAAAAACAAAAGGCAAAAACAAAACCCTACTTGCATTCATACACTAGTCAACTCTTCACTGCATGAATATAAATTTACAGATATACATTTTAATAAAACTGTCATTTTATTGCAAAAAGTGTTTTACAATTTGTAACCTCCCCACCCATTTAACCATTTTTTCCAGAGTACAGCTTTTTGATGACTCATTATGAAAAAATTCAACAGGACGCTAACAATACAGCTGTGTGTATATGCAGACCAAGGTGGTGCAGGACATCAGTCTGAAAAGATACTGATCAACAGCTATTCTGAAACTTGCAATCCTGGAAATAGTTTTGAAATCAACTACTGTGAGATATTTCTCATATGGCAACATAACCTCAAGGCCAATATAAGGTGACTGCATTTTATATTTTTTTTAGGAAAAGGCAAAACAGCTCTTTTCTCAAGTGGTTTTCTCTAATTTTAGAATTATGCTATCTACTACAGAGGCCAATAGCACTTGAAATGTGACTAGCCCAAACTGAGATGTGCTACAAGTGTAACATACAGAGCAAATTTTGAAGACATAGCATACATAAAAGGAATGTAAAAATTCTCATTAATTTTTATGTTGAATATGTGTTAAAATAGTTTTTTTTATATAGCAGATAAAATATATTACAATGAATTTCATTGTTTTTCTATGTGGCTACTAGAAAATTTTAAATTATATGTTGTTTATATTCTATACTATTTGACAGCATTGCTTTAAAATAATGTCTCTCAAACATTAGCATGCATCAGAATCACATGGAGGGCTCGTTAATGATACACAATTGCTGGGTCCCTCCCTTGAATTTCCGACTTGCCTGGGGTGGAGCCAGAGACACTATTTCTACTAAGTTCCCTGGTGATGCTAATGATTTAATAAAAAATTTTAAAATCTAATCTGGTACTGCAGTTTGGGTGCCACTGCTATCAACAATGAACAGTTCTTCCAGCCAGGAGGGAGGATGTGGTTATAAACTCCTTTGAGTGTCTGGAGAAAGCTATAAGCTCTCTCTCTAGAAAAATGCACATACAAGCATAAAAAAAAAAAAGACACTCCACCGTACAGCTGGAGAAAATGCAAATCAACATAACCTCTCTGGTGGGCAATACAAAAATAATTATTAAGAGTCTTAAAAATGTACATACAGTTTAGTTCATAAATTGCACTTTTAAAATTTTTTATTAAAAAATGAAGGCTAAAAAACCATAAGGATAATCATTAAGACATAATTTATAGTAACAGAAACATGGAACTAAATGTTAAATAAATTTCTTCAAAATTTTAGAAATTTAATTCTGACAACAGTGTAGAAGACCGAGCACTCATACATTGAAATACTCTACAACCACTTAAAATGGTGGTCCCTGAAGCTCAGAGGGTGGTTTCTATTAACTCTCTCAAGGATGGGGAAAGGGTGGTGTATGATGACAAGGGGGTGATGTGAAGGATTCAACCATGAGTCCCACTTTATTTTATTATATTAATACTTACAATTTAAAGTTATTTGGCAACAGATTCTATCACTTTAAAGAAGCTTGAAAACTATGAAATAGGAATAATTCATTCAGCAACATGGATGGAACTAGAGGCCATTATCCTGAGTGAAATAACTCAGAAACAGAAAGTCAAATACCTCATGTTCTCACTTATAAGTGGGAGCTAAACAAAGGTTACACGTGGACATATAGCGTGCAATAACACCGTGGAGACTATAAAAGGTGGGAAGATGGGAGAATGGTAAAGGTAGAAACATTACCTATTGGTTATAATATTCACTACTCAGTTGATGGGTACACTAAAAGCCCAGATTCTACTACTATGCAATATATACATGTAAGAAATCTGTACTCAAACCCCCTAATTCTATAAATAAAATTATAATCAAAGAATAATTCATGATATAGATTTTCAAGTAAAAAACAAATTAGAAATGCAAAGTATGACTTTTTATTTAAAAATATGCCTACACCATTAATAATTTTTGAGCAATTATTTGCACTCAACAATGTTCTAAGTGTTTTATATGTATTAACGCATTTTAAGTCTCACAATCTAATATCATTATATATATTTTATCCATGAGGCAACCAAAACTCTGATTACATAACTGTTTAATGTTGCTCAGCTAATACAGGCCTAACTTTTAACTATATTTATTGCCTCTGGATAAACACTTATGCATTCCAAAAACTGTTAACAGTGGTTATCTTTGGGTGGTAAAATACAGAGGAAATTTTAAATCTCCTTTCTGTGCTTTCTGTGTTTTCCAGATTTTACAACATGATCATATACTGTTTTTACAACCACAAAAAAGTCAACTTATTAAAAGGTACTTAGAGTTCTAGTCATAACTTGATTTTAAAAAGAGAAAAAAGTATTTTAAAAAGTAGTAGTTTCTTTTTTTTTTTTTGAGACAGAGTTTTGCTCTTGTTGCCCAGGCTGGATTGCAATGGCGTGATCTTGGCTCACCACAACCTCTGCCTCCTGGGTAGCTGGGATTACAGGCATGTGCCACCACATCCGACTAATTTTGTATTTTTAGTAGAGACAGGGTTTCTCCATGTTGGTCAGGCTGGTCTTGAACTCCAAACCTCAAGTGATCTGCCCACCCTGGCCTCCTAAAATGCTGGGATTATAGGTGTGAGCCACAATGCCTGACCAAAATGAAGTAATTTCTCTATTACTTAAATAATAAGCTTCTCCTTGGGACCTTGTACTTAGTCTTTCATTTCACTTCGACTAAGTCTGTTCACTCAGAAAAGAAAGATGTCATCATTTCAGTACATGGTGCTCAAGCTTTCCAATATATTCACTGAACTTATAACTGTGTACCATCCAACAGGCATCATGCAAAGTACTGATTATATGAGGCTGACTAAGGCATAGTCCAGTAAGGGTAACACATCCACAGAAAGTACATACAAGGTGATATGTGAACTAAACATAAGCATGTGAACTAAACATGTGATATAAACATAAGCAGAGTATCTGGGTATAAGGAAGAGAAGTGAAGGAATGATCAAAGAGGGCTTTGCCTAGGTGGCGATATTTAGCTAGGTCTTAAAGAAAGAGGTCAATTTGTTACATAGAAAACTGAGGGGCATTTCAGGTACAGAGAGCATAGGAAGAAGCCATGGACATATGAAAGAGCATAATGTGTTTAAGGAACACTGAAAAGTTTCAAGGGGCTGGAATCTAGGTCGAAAAGGGGAGAAAGATGGACAGATTAGTCTGGTAATGCAGGTTGTTAAGGAAGCTTTATAAAGACTCTTGTACATTCAGCTAAAACATTCAATCATACAGACAGAAACCACTGGAAATGTATCAAGGGAAAAATTTTAAACTGGACTTAGAAAATTAATTCTGGTAATTAAACGGGCAATCAGTGTAGAATATGAAGCAAAGTAAACCAAATCAAAGGCAAGTGGACTGATTTGGGAGAACCTCACTGAATAGAGCCTATAGATTTTCTCTATCTGATGACTTTTTAAAACCAATGCTTTCCCATCCATGCATGTACTTTTTATAAGTCAACTGGACGAAGTGGACTCCAGTTTCCTTACGTATACAATTTTAAATGCTGAGCTAGTTGCCTTCCACGATCCTCCTTAGAGTATACTTTTAAGGTCTAAGAACATGCCACCACTTATTTCCTTAACATTTGACTTTAAGTAGAATTATATGAAAACTGCTTCTTTATTGTGAGAAAATGGATACTGAATGGTATTTTTATAATGTGCTAACTTTCTCAGGAAATCTCTTTCCTTCTGGACAATGTCCTGTTTCATAGGTATGATCACTGAGGTAATAAGGAAGAGTAAAGAAAGCATTAGCTGGGAAAATTTTTCTATAGTATGAGGACATGGATAGAAAACCTCAAGCAATTAACTGTACAGGGCATATAGAAAAAGATAATTTGCACTTTAAATTAAAACAGTTACGTAATTAAAAAAAAAAAACCTGAGTACATACTATTTCATTAATCCCACTGAGTTTGCCTGTAGTAAGCTTTGGTCTGGAAGTAGGCCTCGGAGGTGGGACAATGGTGCCTACAGAAAGAGGAGTTGTGGGCCTGGCTGGTTGAGGGGAAAAAGAGAATGTGAAGAAAATCATTAGTATGTAGCAATCCTTACATAAAAACATTCTATTATAAAGAAACTGTTGGTAATCAAAGCTCATTTTTCAGCAGGCTCTTTTTTTAGATGTAATTATTGATGTTTATTGAAATATTGGGAATCTATCAAATATGCTTTTTTGAAGTGACCAGTAATATTCCTGAAAAAAGTTAATCTTTCAATAAAACTGATACAAATTTTGTTCCTGTTTCAATTATTTATACATATAAAAATTAAACCTGATATACGAGCTGATGAGAACAAACCAATTTAAGGTCAAAGGTCTTTTGTTTATTTTATAGATAGTAATTAAAGACCAAGCTTTTGAAGCTGTACCTCCAGAATAATATTATAAACTATAAATAAATTACTTACCTTAATTAAACTTGTTATTTGACTTTTAAGTTGAACCACACTGTAACATTTTTGGGAGTAACATTATTTGGGATAATTAGATATTCTATTAGTTTACTAAAAAAAAAAAATTCCCCGAATCACTACAATTTTTGGTAAGTGTTCAAAATAATATCTTAACTTTTCCTAAGTCCTATACACATTTAGTGTTGAGTCTTTCAATGCTATCTGCTAATTTTACAAATCAGAAATAACAGTATTCTTAGTCTCATCACAATGTAAATTTACTGGATAAAAGTCAAGTATATATCATCAAAAGTCACAAATGTATAAGCATAATCAAAACAAGAGTAAAAAAAGGGAAGTACATAGGTTTAAACCCCCTTTAAAATCATGTTTAATCATCATTAATAAATTATTTTCAAAGCCCTTTGGTTCACACTAAAATGTGAGATATAATTCATAGACTGAAAAATATAATAAGTGAGAAGAAATATATTCAGCATGTTTTCAAAGTTTAGAGATGTATAAAATTAAAAATATGTAAATGGGCCTAAGTGTACACATGTGAAAATAAATTGTAAAGCTGAAGGCCTTTAATCATCAATGGAGGAATCAATCGGTGCATGAAAGGAAGGTGCACAGAGGTGGTAGAAAGAGACCTCAAGAAAAAGGTAGTCACACAGGACTGAAAGTACATGCATGGGAGGTACAGAATCACTTAGAATACCACAATAAGAGATAAAAGATGCAAGTGCTATTGAGGTTGCTGAAGGAAAACAAAAAAGCTGATAAATCAAGCTTAGATTCTGAGGCCACTGTCTTTCCAGTCAGTGTCAGTTTTTCATGCTGCACTCACACTTGAAGCTGTACACTGGAAGAAATGTGCACCAAAATCTGAGGCCTATAACACTTGACTGTGTATGACATATCTACTTTGATGATATGTTCATTATCAATGAAACTAGCACTAGCCTATGTTATTTCAAACTTGTGAGAGAGTTTACACAGCAGAGGCATTTATTATTGATCGAGTGGTCTGTCCAAATGGAATTTACAATGACTCGAACCAAGCCTGGTAGAAGTATTAAGTTCAACTTAGAATTTGCTTTTTGAGGAAAACTAATAACAATACTTATGAACACCACTGTTTACAAATGAATCTATATTATATCTGCATATGTCAATTAGGCACTGCTTCTAGAAGCCTCTAAAGGAGATAACTGCAATTGTTTACGTTCTCAACTGTCCTGTGTTTTATTTTTTACTGGTGGTGGGGTGGAGTTCACTGCTACAAATTTCTATTAGAAAGAGTGCTTCAAGAAATATGAATTGGCCTATTATGTATTAAAAAACATAGGTGATAAGGGCTATTCTACATCTGCCCTCAGACATTAACTAACTCAAATATACAAAGCATGCATGTCATACCATTCTGTATGTGAACAAAAGTGGAAACTAATCTAGAATCTAGAAGCAAAAATGATTATGTAGAAGAAATAGCAGCAGCATTGTTAGCTGCTTCTGTAGGTAAATTTTCAAATCATATAATATTATAGCAAAGGTGATTGTGATCCTCAGACATGCAGCTGATGGAAGACATCCTAACCAAAGCATTAGGGAGCCTGTAAGTGGTATCAGCTTACAGTGAAATCTCTGGAATGCCTTCTGAGCATGACTAGAGTTATTAATTCTAACAAGTTCATCAGTAAAGAAAATCCACTGACTTTGCGGCCATGAAGCAAAAGGAAACTTAGATCTGTGCTCTCTGGTGATACTGTTAGAGCAGAATAAAATAGAGATTTAGGGGGAAAAAACTGGTGATGGACTTTCTAGGCTCAGAATCTGACTAGGTTTCAAGCAAATTTTCAATTATCATACACTCAAGTAAATCAGTGAGAAAGGAAGTGAAGTTCCTAGTCTGCTCAAGGTCAGATGAATAAGAAGAAAACAACAAAAAACTAGAAGCAACAGGAAAATTCTAGAACTAAAATATAATCCATATAGCCAAATAGTTCTCTTGTTTTAATTATCTGAAACTAGAAAATTTAAATAATAATACATGGAAGAAGAGCATTAAATTCAAACTTTATATTAAAGAAGGAAAACAAGCATGTACATTAGGAAACTTAAAATGTTGATGGTCCAAAATTATATAAAGTCAGAGTTATTCCTGTTTTCCTAGAGGAGCAAAGGTAACTATTTATAGTCAATACAAAATCTAAAAAGATTTGACAAGGTGGCAAAGCTACAGTGCTGTGTATGTGTGGTACTCAACAAAGTCTGTCCAGTGATAAAACTGCCCCAGGAAGTACACTGGACTAAATCAGTGTTTCAGTTAATATTTAAAAACAGCCTAGGCTGGGTGCGGTGGCTCATGCCTGTAATCCCAGCACTTTGGGAAGCCGAGGCAGGCAGATCATGAGGTCAGGAGTTCAAGACCAGCCTGGCCAACATGATGAAACCCTGTCTCTACTAAAAACACAAAAATTAGCCAGGCAATGTGGCACATATCTGTAATTCCAGCTACTCGGGAGGCTGAGGCAGGAGAATTGCTTGAAACTGGGAGGCGGAGGTTGCAGTGAGCAGAGATTGTGCCATTGCACTCCAACCCAGGTGACAAAGCAAGACTCCATTTTAAAAACAAAAAGAAAAAAAAACCAGCCCAATTATTTTTCAAAAACTAATTTTAAAGTTGTTTTTTTGTTTGTTTTTTGTTGCAGAGCACAAGAGTTCAATTAATCCATGGATAGAGAAAATAGTCTACACTGGTACTTACCAAAGAGGAGGTAGCTATAAGATATTTATGTTAAATTTTTAAAAATACATATATCAATGTTTCTATATATTCGTATCTGACATAAACATGAATACTTATTTATAGTCTACATGGTATAAGATGCAACTGAATCTACAAAGCCAAGCCATAATCAACATTTTAAAACATAACAACACTGGGATGCATAACTATGAGTTATTAACTGATTGGTTGAAATTATTTTTTAGCCTGCTTTAAGATGAGGCTAGTGATGAATTAAGATTGTGAAAGACACACAGGAGAGTAGGGAATGAGCTCACAACCTGGATCTTGCTAAAATGTTAAAATGAGTACCTTAACATCCTCTAGGATGTTAAGATGGGCGAGAAGTGGATTGCAAAGAATGGTGGGACCAAATTTAAGATTTATTGTAACTAGTGAGTACCAAGCAAACAATAAAAATGAATGAAATAAAAATTTAAGATAAAATGCCTATTTCAAAATTTCACTTAGGGCCTGTCTGTAAAACAGGATAATCTCAATTATGAATTGATTAGTTTGATCAATAATTATATTCTGTTCAAGTGAAGACTTAATAGTAATTACTATATAGCAGAATAACTATCTCTTTTGAGCATCACTAACTTTTTTTTTTAAAGGCAAAATTTATAACATTACTTTTCATACTACATAGGCAGGTTTAAAAATGCATACTGAACTGAATTTTAAAACCAGCAAAAAGTTAATAAATGTTGTATCATTTCCTAACAGCTAAACATCAGTGATCACTAAATGAAAAGGAACCATTTTTTACCTGAAGTGATGGTGATATGAGCCAAACATTCTTTAGATAGGTAGCAAAAAGGAAGAAAGAGTACTTTTATAAAAAGAAAGGGACTGTACTAGAGAAAATGTCAAGAAACAATAAGCTGAATTATGAAGAAATTTCTATATAACTAAAACATCTGTGATAATCAATTTGAAAAATTTTATTAAAGACTTCAATAATTCATAATGGCATATTAACAAAATTTTTAAATACTGCTGAGAACTCCTTATTCTAAATACAAAATCCCATTCTAACATTTTTACTAAACAAAAGAGAGATTTGGCAACCACATCAGTTTTTCCTGTACAATTACTTTCCCTATATAATACACACATAAGGTTAATTATATAAAACTAAATAGTAACAAATGATCAATGAAAAAGGCTATAATGCCACTTCAGATTATTATGTTCAACTATGTATTGACTGTTTCTTGCTGTTTTACAAGTATTAAATACAGATTAACTTCCCTTCAAAGGGTCAAATAGCTCAGTGTTTAGGGTTAAGGTTTCTTATAATCCACTTACAGTTTCTTCTAAAAAATATTTTGTCTCTAAACATTCTAATTTTAAAAACCAGTATTTAATTTTTAGTAATAAGATATTTCAACATGGCTTTTTTGTTGTTGTTAATCTGCCAAAGTGAGAGATAGAACAATGACTTTAGAATAAATAAGAGCCAGGTTTGAAACTTGTCTCCATCATTTACTAGCTATATGATTGTGGAGAAGTTATGTATTACCTCTGAGCTTTACTTTCTTCATCTATAAAACAGGGACAGTAAAAACAACTTCGTGCTGCTGTTATTGTGGTGAAATTAAATGGAATGTGTGGCACTCCTAACAATGTTACCTAGCATGAACCAGACAGATTTAAGTTCTCCCACCATGATTCCAGTGCTTCCTTAACTCCAAATACTGGATGGCAATTCTGAAGTCCCAGAGAATAAGGTAGAAGAAACTAAAATTGATTTTATTTTCTTGTTTTAAACAAGCAGTGGTTTCATTAAGCATACATTTTTGATGCCTGCTTTTTGACTAATGAAAAGAGAAACTTAACATATTCTTGCCAAAACAACAACTAAAAAGCATTCATCAACTTCTTTCATAAATTGCTTAGGAAGTGTTAAAGCCTTTCTAGAAAGCAGTTTGACAGTAAGTATGATGGATATTATCTTGTGACCCATAAATTTTAAATTGATAAATTATTACAGGCATATTATGAGACATATGCACAAAATTTGTTATTTCTATGGATGTTCATGATACTGGAAAATGAGATGCAACTTAACTTCCATCAAGAAAGAATTGGTTACACTGATACGTATTTTGTATTTAAATTATCTATAAACAATAATAATTATTTAGATAATAATATGAAATGCTTAGAAATAAACATACCAATTTTTAAAAACACTTAGTATTTTACAAATTTTTATTAAGTCATAGAGTAACAGAACAAAACTAGAATAAAATCATTTTATTTGGCAATATAGAGGACAAATTTTTAGAAATTTTGATCATTAAGTACAATGCACAAATAGAGAATAAAAGAGAAAAGGCAACTGAAGTATTCCTTATTTACAAAACAAAACAAAAACAACAACAACAAAATATATATATATATTTACCTGATGATGATGAAGTTAGTGAAGATGAAGATGATGAATCAAGAGAGGGTCCAAACAGGGGGTCCCAAGCAAGTAAATCACTGGTTCCTTTTCTACCATATTTTTAAAGCAAGAATTTTAACAAAAGAATATTTTATTAGTATAAAATTTGTAGTCCCTTATTTTTATTTCATAGAAAGAATTCTAATAGCTCAATAGACATAACTAAAAAGTTGGGGCCAGGCGCCATGGCTCACGCCTATAATCCCAACACTTTTGGAGGCTCAGGTGGGAGGATCACTTGAAGCCAGGAGTTCAAGATCAAGCCTGGGCAACACCGCAAGACCCTATATCTACAAAAAAAATTTTTTTTTAATTAGCTGGGCATGGTGAGGCATGCCTGTAGTCCTAGCTATCCAGGAGGCTAAGGCATGAAGAGCACTTGAGCCCAGGAGTTCTGGGCTGCAGTGAGCTATAACTACACCACTGTACTCCAGCCTGGGTAACAGAGCAAGACTCTGTCCCTAAAAAAATAATTATTTTAAAATTTAAAAGTTGGATATTCTAGCAGTAGTATATGTGTAGAAATTAATTAACAGATTTAACAGCCAATATTTGTTAGACGCATAACCTAAGATAATGTGAAGTTAGCAGAGGAGAATGGGGAAAATTAATTCCCATTCATTATCCCTTGTTAGACTCAACAACCTTGAGGGCTCAAGTGCACATAGCACACAATCCTAAACAGAAAATTTAAGTTGTATAAAATTGGGTTAAAATTTTATAAGGCCATGCTTATTTTTAAAAATGAAAAAAAGAGTAAAGTGATTTTTTTAAGTCCTTAAGTACAGAAAGGTGGCTTAAATATTTTAATAGTATCAAACTACCATTATTTTTAAACATTTTAGGAAATCTTACACACACACACACACACACACACACACACAGAAAACAGGCTCTATAATGAAAGTGCAGCAATTATCTAAGAGTACATCTGAACATACACCTACATGAAAGCACATTACACTTCATATGATAAAACCTAACATTGCGACTGCATAAATGGTTCCTAAAAACAGGTTTAAACACTCAACAACTTATCTTTAAAAATTATACATCCAATAAATATCACCACTGTGCTCAATTAGTACCTCAAAAGTATCAAATAATTGTAAACTACCTATTTAATTAAGCCTATTTTTACTTGTGTTTTACATTAACTCTGGACAGGCTTGATGGCTCATGCTTGTAATCACAGCACTTTGGGAGGCTCAGTCCAGGAGTTCGAGACCAGCCTGGAAAACATAGTGAGACAGTCTTCACACACACACACAAAAAAAATTTTTTTTTAATTGGCTGGGAGGCAGGGCTGGGAGGATTCGTTTGAGCCTGGGAGGTTGAGGCTGCAGTGAGCCATAATCATGCCACTGCCCTCCAGCCTGAGAAACAGTGTAAGACCCTGTCTCAAAACAGACAAGCAAAAAATAAATTCAGAGTATTCTTACAGACAGACACAGAAGTAAAAAGAGACCTATGCAATATTGGCTTAATTTTTTTTTTTTTAAAAGAAGAGCTGGCAACATGCCTTCTAGCTTCTCTCCCTTTTCAACTTGAGACAATTATCTGTTTTGAAGCTTATGAAGTACACTATTTTACAAAGTCACAATCAAAATTGAAGGAAGAAATGAGAAAATTCCCATGAGAATAACCAGCTGAAATACAGATATGTATGAACTTAGGGTTTTATCATTTATTTAGAAGTAGTGAGGCTACCAAGGCCAACTGTGGTTAAATGGATTTTCTTTTAATTGTAAAAGGACAATTTCTTAATGAGTAAGAAATAATTTTAAACTTCTAAAAACTCCAACATGGCATTTGACAGCTTAGAAAACAGGATGATTAATAAAATTATACTGTAGTTGAAACTATAGAGTTAATAAAACTCTAGAAAAAAAGACAAAAGGATACTTAAAATGTAAATGTGGTGTGGAAGAAGGGATGAATAGGTAGGTGTAGCACAGAAGATTTTCAGAATAGCAAAAATACTCTGTATGATACTATAATGATAAATACATGTCCTTACACATTTGTCCAACACCAAGAATGAACCTAATGTAAACTGTGGACTTTAGGTGATTATGACATGTCAATGTAGGTTCACAGATTATAATAAATGTATCACTCCGGTGAGAGAATCTGACTGTGAGAGAGAAGGGGCAGGAAGTGAAATCTCTGTGCTTTCTGAAATTCAGTTTTGCCATGAATCAAACACTGCTTTAAAAAATAAAGTCTGTTTTTTAAAAAAATTAAATATAGAAACTTACTCATTGGGTGGAGCAGATGGCTTTGATTTTGTTAACTCCTCATCTAATTAAAAAATTAAAATATGAAAAATTAAAGTATATTTCATAATCTGAGAAATATTTTAATAAAAAAGAGAAACTCTAAATGCATATCTCAACACTATAATCATTAACAATTTTTGAATTGATAATGTAAACATAAACAATAATGGAGAAAAGGTAAATAAGATTTCAACAAGTTTTCTATTGTGTACACTAAAATAACTGAAATTCTGCTAAATCTTTATTTCTTCTAATATCTTTGGTAAGAAATTACTTGTCAATTAAACTATGATACTGATTAAAATTGCTGTTTAAGAAAGAGAAAATATGTGGGCTACAACTTTACAAGCTAGAAAAAAATGTTTAAATACATAAATTCTGCTTAAGAATTTTAATTGATAAATCATGAATGCATTTCCCAAGTTCAAAGAATATTATTAGTGATTGTTATATTGGCAAAAATTATTAACTCTTGAGGATGTCATATTTTGAAAAATTAAGAACCTTATAGCAACCTGAAGCAAATCTCTTTATAAGATCGCCTGTTTTGCTACCTTTTGCATTTGTAACATGCTTCATTTCACAAGCAAGTGGTAAACAGAGGAATAGCATCATTAATGCAAAACTCACACTGGTACATAAGCAATTTTTGCTGCACCTTCACGTTTTCTTAGGCAATACCTGATGAATGCCAAGTACATCAATATGAGTAATTTCCACAAACTATGGAGGAGTATCACAGTTCCCGATACCCATTCACTCTACATTCTTCACTTGGCTCGGTTTGGTTGGTTGTTCTGCCTCAGTATTTACTGTGCTATTCTTCAGTATTTCTGCATTTTGCTCTCATCTCAACCACTCAGCACCCTCCATTTATCCTCATTTTCCTCATACCCCCTATTAAGCTACCCTAACATTTCTTTATTTCAAGATAAAATACTTACTTTTATTTATTTTGATATTTATCATTAATTTACTAGGTCTTTTAAACATCAACTTACGATTGATGTTAAAGTTTTTGTTAAATCTTCTGTTAACAAAATTACATAGCTTTTGAATGGGCTGCTTCAACTATTTTTCCCACAACCGTTGTTATTTTTAATGCATGATTCTGCAAAAGGTATTAGCACCCTAGAAGAGTTTTCAGTATAATTAAGTTTTTAGTGTAATTAAATTATAATAGAATTTATAATTGTGACCTAACTTAAAAATACGTAAAGCTAAATATTACTCATATCTTACGAATGTCTTCTGGTTTATAAGACTGTATGCCAATTAAACAGTTTAATATTCTTAATCAGAAGTTATTTTTTGGCTTCGGTGATTCCTGAAAAATATTGTAGCTGTATATTAAAGTTTGAAGCATGTCTCTTAGTTCTACAGTAAATAATAAAGACAAGTGTTTTCTTTTTAAAATAATTATCCTTCTAGCCATTAGGTAGGGCTCATGATGAGAAAAGACCATTTATTGCTATAGCTACATAAGGCTAAAAGATTAACAAATTGTCTTATAAATTTTAATAGACATAAAATAAGCAATTCAAATGTCAGACTTACTAGACAAATTCTGATTCATCTGTACCTAAAAAAGAAATGCAAAATAGGTACCATAAAACAAATTAATTTAGTTTGATAATGAAATATTTGTAAAACATTAATACTGGAAACATAATTTTAAGTTGTTTTTAGTACATCTGCCCAATTGTAAAGTGTAGTTACCTAATATAAAAAAAACTTTCAGTTTTTGTTTTACAGTAAAAAAAAATGTAGTTTTAACACCTACTGTTTTTAAAATACTAAAGCAGTATCTACAGCAAAACACTAAAACTTGCTAACCTAAAAATTTAATACAAATATTTTGAAATTCAATCCTGAAAAATTACAATGATTTAAAAAGTCAATGGGTAAAAACATAAAATCTTGTACTTACTGGACTGTGCCGCTAGTAGTACATGGAAGAAAAAGAAAGTTAGTTTAGAATTCTGAATACTCTATCTTTCTGCGCTAAAAATTTATCATTCCCTATTCAATCATATCTAAACTATATATACCTTAAAACACATACATTGTCAGATGGGAAAAAGTTAAGCAAACTAGGCAGCAAAATATATTCAGATATAATCTTTTCTAACCCAATATTAACTATTAAAATTGTTCTGATTATTTTCTGAGTACATGTTCATTGTTTTAAAAACAAACAGAAGAGAGAAGAGTACAAAAGAGAACATTTAAAACTACCCACGATCTCACTACCCAGAGATACATGGTACATGCTTTACATTTTGGTATATATACTTCTAGGCTTTGTTTTAGATATTTACATACATATTTTAAATTAGTTATGCTCTTACACAATATACATTTTTAATGGTTTACAAGCTCATACTTCATATATACTCACCATCTTTTTTCTTTTGTCTTTTTTTTTTTCTTTTGAGACAGAGTCTTGCTTAGTCACCCAGGCTGGAGTGCAGTGGCAACGCAATCTCGGCTCACTGTAACCTCCATCTCCCAGGTTCAAGCGATTCTTCTGCCTCAGCCTCCCGAGTAGCTGGGACTACAGGCACGTAACACCACACCCAGCTAATTTTTTGTACTTTTTTTAGTAGAGACGGGGTTTCACCGTGTTAGCCAGGATGGTCTCAATCTCCTCACCTTGTGATCAGCCCGCCTTGGCCTCCCAAAGCACTGGGATTACAGGTGTGAGCCACCGCACCCGGCCCTATATTCACTATCTTTTAAGCAACTTTGTACTTAAACATTAATCTTAATGTTAAATAGTAATGGTACAATAAAACCTCATTTCAGAAATATTTTTGGTAGAAAGAAAACAGTTCTAAAACTAAATTCTGAAGTACATGACTAGGAGAAAACCACTTTTTTTTCCCCAAACAAATACATGTAACTACTTAAAATATATAATTAGATAACAATATAAAATGGTGAGAACCTTTATTCTTCAATATCAAGAATAGATTTAATGTCAGTCATGATGATCACATACAGACATAATTAACTGTTATCCTAGGACATGCTTTTTTCACATAGTGTAACATTTTCAAATTTAAAATTGACATCAATGAGAAAAAAATTTATTGTGGTAATGTTTTATTTTCCCTTCAAATCCTATTAAATACAGTATTTTAGAACTGAGGAATTAACTGTTACCACTAAAATAAATGTTACAGTGGCAGACTGAAAAAAAAAAAGCAAATACATAATTTAATCTTTAAATTCATTTTTATGGAATTCCCTCTTATATAAAGCTCACAAAACATAGAAGAAAAACTTCAAAATTAGATGAGGCAAAAATTGATACTGCCAATTCAAAGAATTCTACCTGAGACACACAGCACTATTTATGAAATGCAACAAATGGTAGAAATAGTGACTTTTTGACATTTTCATTTACTTATAAAATACTTTCAAATGAAAGCAAAATTAAGCCAAACTCAATTTATTTGCCTGTATAAAAACTATAAACTAAGTATTTCCTCAGCCAATATGCTTAACAATTGCTAGGTAATGTTTGACCAGACACAGGTAGGTAAGAAAAATAAAGACAAACATGTTCATACTTACAGATATTGCTGGGGAGAGTGTTATATTCCCTATAGATACTTTTAATTCATCCAAAGAAGCCATTGCATGATGTGAGTTATTTGGATGGATAGGCTTAATTTCTATCCGATACTTCTTTGGTTCTTCATCTTCAGAGTCAGAATCACTAGATGAATAGAAATGGTTCTCTTTGGTATGTGGGTTTCAGTTAAAGAATTGTTTTAAAATTACCTAAAACATATAACCAGTTTTTCACACATTTATTTTAAAAAAGGAATGAAACCTTTAAGAGTAAAACAGACTTTAACAGAAATAAGACTATTAACTTTTATTAATAAAAACATGTCAAGGCAGGGTGTGGTGGCTCACACCTGTAATCCCAGCACTTTAAGAAGCCAAGGCGGGTGGTTCACTTGAGGTCTGGAGTTCAAGATCAGCCTGGCCAACATAATGAAACCCCTCGTCTCTACTAAAAATACAAAATTTAGCCAGGCGTGCTATGCACGCCTGTAATCCCAGCTACTTGGGAGGTTGAGGCAGAAGAATCACTGAAAGCCGGGAGGCAGAGGCTGCAGTGACCTGAGATTGTGCCCTGTGTTCCCTCCCACGCAACAGACGAGACTCTGTCTCAAAAAAAAAAAAAAGTCAAATGACAAATAAGAAATCACATTTTAAAAAATTGGAAAAGGCTTTAATACATGATTTTCTTATAACTGTCTACTTATATGCCAACATAATCCATAAGAATGCCCAGATGATGAAAGGATATCATTCTGATTTGTTTCTGGTTTAATACTGTAGCCTTCTTCATCTACATCGGGAATGTTCTAAAGGAAAAAGAAAAAAAATACTATAATGACAACTCCAATGTACAAAATTATTAGAGATTATCAAAATAGCCTCAAGTATTACTAAGGAACCAAACCACTTATCAAATATCAACAGGTTAACAAAATTATTAACATTGAAGAAAAATTACATCTTTTTTAGTTAATTAGCTTCAAATGACACTCCATGCTTTGGACATCTGAAGGAGGAAAGACCTGCAAAATGAAACGGGAGAAACACAACTCATAATTTCAGGGCAAGAAATCACCAAGGTGGAGACAAATTCAGACTGTCAAAATCTACAGTTTTTGTTATAAATGAGGAAGAATAAGTGAGTTTAAAAAATACTATCATGTGATTTGAAAGCTATTATCAAGCTAAATATTCTGATTGTTATAAGCTCTACGGAAATATAAAATCTAGCGCCTCCTTAAGCAGTTTAAAGTCTGGATGAACTACCTAAGACAAACCATTAACATCTGCCAACATCCCATAAAGAGTGACAACCAGATACCATGTACCTCGAGAGGCAGCCCTGACAAAACAAGAGCAAAAAATACTTGAACCTGAATCTGATCAAGCCTCTAGATCCAAATGCCAATTTAAATAATATAAAGAAGTAAAACATAATACAGTAGAGAAACATAATCAGCAAAATTCAGACTAAAGGAAACTATAAAACAAATCACCCAGTCTTGCCAATAAAAACATGGAAAGCTAAACAGAGAAGGAAGGAGGGGGAACCTATAGATCAAGACTTAAGACATATCCACAAATTCAAAGGATAATAAAATGGACATCAAATATAAATATAAATTTGAAAATACTAAGGAGTTGTAAATTATTTCTAGATGTGATGATACTGTGATTATGTTTTAAAGATATATGTAATGTAAATTCAGATGAAATTATATTATTCTAGAATTTGGGCAGAGGAAACAGATGGGCAGGATTGGCTAGCGCAAGTTGTTGAAGCTGACTGATGAGAGACAGCCCCAACATGAGAGACCATGATAGTATTATTAAAATATATATTTGCATTTGTTTAGAATGCTTCAAAATATAAAGATAAAAATAATCTAGCTGGGAGTACTAAAAAAAAGCAGAGGTTGCCTAACTATTATGACTCAGAAATTAGTTTTAATGCATTTTAACAGCTTCAAGAAGGAGTTTTCTGGTAACATCATAAAATTCCCATAAATTGAAAGAACACGGCAAACAAGGAGAAATAACATACACAAAGACATGGAAAGATAAACAAACGTTCAGTTCAGGTGTTCAGAAACAGATTTTTTTCAAGTTAAAGGGATCTGGGCATGCCTGAAAGCAGAAGAGGAGCCAATATATACTACAGATATCACAGAGATAAAATGAGAACAAGGTACTCTAAGAGTCAAGATAAAACAGGATAAGACAAAGAAGCCCCTGTTCCTCAAGGACTAGGAGGAGATAAAAAGAAGAGAATAGGTATTTGGATAGGAATGGCAGCAGCTTTGTGGATAATCAATTTTTCACTCGAATTCTCAAAGTAAAAATAAAAAGTTAAGACTATGTGTATCACTGGGTGTGGTGTAATAAAGTGAAAGGACTGATAATGTAAATGAATGGAAATACAAACCATAAGCAAAAAAACAAACAAAACGAGAAATAAAAGAATACCAAGAAAATTAAAACTACATTAAGACACCAAATTCAATGGCTTGAAAATATACTTTGTTGGTGAAGCTGGAGGGGAAATGCACATTCACACTTTGTGAGTATTAAAAAAAACTGGCAAAACCCCTAGAGAGAAAAATTTGGCAATGTATAACGAAACTACATATGTATTCACTCTTTGACCCAGGAATCCCATTTCTAGAAATTTACCCTGAAGACACAGCTCCAACTATTTAAAAATACATAAGCACAAGGTTATTCATCGCAGATTATTTGTAACCTGTAATTATTAAAATTACCTAAATGTCCAAGCACAGCTGAATATATGGTACATACACAAAATGAGGTGGAGCCATCCCTCCATTTCTGCAGGTTCGGTTTCAGTATTTGCATAGATTGAACAAACCACAGATTGAAAATAATTTTATTTTGTTTATTTAGTTTTATCAGACAGTCTTGCTTTGTCGCCCAGGCTGAAGTGCAGTGGCCCAATCTCAACTCACTGCAACCTCTACCTCCCAGGTTCAAGTTAATCTCCTGCCTCAGACTCCCTAATAGCTGAGATTACAGGCATGCAATGCCACGTCCAGATAATTTTTGTATTTTTAGTAGACATGGGGTGTCACCATGTTAGCCAGGCTGATCTCAAACTCCTAGCCTCAGGTCATCCACCCACCCAAAGTGTTGGGATTACAGGCATAAGCCACTGTGCCCAGCAAAAATATTTTAAAAAAATAAAAAATAAGCTGGGTGCAGTAGTTTATGTCTGTAACCCAAGTACTTCAGGAGGCTGAAGCAGGAGGATTGCTTGAGCCCAGGAGTTCAAGACCAGCAATATACTGGGCAATATAGTGAGACCCCATCTCTACAAAAAATTAAAACATCAGCTGAGTACAGAGCCATGTACCTGTAGCATAGCTACTAGGAAGCTGAGGTGGGAGGACTGCTTAAGCCTGAGAGGTAGAGGTTGCAGTGAGCCCAGATGGTATCACTGCATTTCAGCCTAGGCAACAGAGCAAGACTCTGTCTCTAAATAAATAAATAAATACACAAAACATGAATCTTTTAAAAATGCAATAAAACAACTATTTATAATATCCATTTACATTGTATTAGGTATTATAAGTAATCTAGAGATGACTGAAAGTATGACAAAGGATGTGTATAGGTTATATACAAATACTATGACAGTTTATATAAGGAACTTGAGCATCCAGTGATTCTGGTATCCTAAGGGGGTTCGAGAACCAATCCTGAGAGAAACTGAGGAAAGACTATACTATGCAGCTGTTGAAAGAGAAAAAGAGAATGAGAAAAATTTGTATGAACTAATATGGAGTGACTGCCAGGAAACACTGCTAATTTTTAAAGAGCCAAGTAGTAAACAACATACATAGTATTATAACTTTTAAGAAGGGCAAATAAAAACATAAACATACTCCATCTACTTATCTTTATTTAAAAAAAAACACACAGAAAGGATAATTAGAACAAAATAAGGTTAATTACCTACAAGGAAGGGCAATGGGATAGAAGGGATACAGGAAGGAGGAACACTTCTCTGAATATGGTTTTGTGGCTAGATAAGAAATTACTTGATATTTTGGGGTAATATACACTTAAGTATTTAGAGACAAAGGCCAGAATACATTTAATTTGTGCTCAAATGGATCAGAAAAAATACTATACACACATATATAAACACATGCACAAATATAGAGAGAATGCAAATGTTAAAGCAAATGTGACAAAAATAAAGGGCAGACAAATGTTCTTTGTATTACTTCATTCTTGCAATTTTGTAAGTTAGAAATGATTTCCAAATTTTAAAAAAATTTTAATGGAAAAAAAGGCTGCCAAGGAATTAGAGCAAAAATCTTTTACTGGTAAGGTATGCTGTTCTAATCACTTTCTAAAGCTCAGCAAGAAAGATATGAAAAGCTGTGAAGGTACACACAACACAAGGTCAGGGAGAACGGAGAGCAACATTTAGGTGACTATCTCTTCCAGACCAACTAGTCTAATGCAGCCAGGACTGAGTTAACAGATGGAATTAAAAACTAGAAATAAAAAATCTAATGTAGGGTAAAGAACAGATTCCATGGATAAAAAGATGACAAAGGCCACATTTATAATACTAAAGGTAGAGTACTTTCTCTTTCTATTGCTTGCTAATATGCAAATATCACTTTAAAATTCTTTAAAAATAAAGAGACTTTATCAACTGTGAATCTTTTAGAAATCAGAATGAAAGGTTTTTTCAAAATACTTTATCCCCATTTCAAGTACCCTAGAAACATACCAGGTATTTAGTCTCCAGGAGGTTCTATCTCAAATTTAACAATGGACTACTTTAAATTTGTTTAGAATACACTATATAGCATAATGTAATAATTTAAAAATAATAGCAAGTTATTTTCTATATGGCTGAATAAGCAGCTTTTGGACCAACCTCCTACAGATTACATCTATAAATTGTGATCAAAACACATCAACAGGCCAGGCACGGTGGCACAGGCCTAGAATCCTAACATTTTGGGGAGCCAAAACAGGAGGATCACTTGAGACGAAGAGTTCAAGAATAGTCTGCTCAGTATAGCAAGACCCTGTCTCTACCCAGAAACAAAAAAATTAGCTGGGTGTGGTGGCACATGCCTATAGTCCTAGCTACTTGGAAGGCTGAGGCAGGAAGGATATCTTGAGACAAGGAGTTCGAGGCTGTGGTAAGCTAGGATTGTGCTACTGTACTGCAGCCTGGGCCACAGATCAAGAACCCAGCTCTATTAAAAACAAAACAAAAGTAAACTAAACAAAAAACAGCATAAACAACTATGTGAGGGTAATGGAGAATGACCTAGAGTACCCACTAAAATAGCTCTACAAAGTGATTCACTGAAAAGAATCTATAAATAGGTCAAAATGTAATGCTAAATAAGGTTCAAAAAACCTACAGAAAGGCCAGAAAAAAATGAAACAAAAAACAGAGGAACAAACAGAAAACAAAAATAAAATGGTAATCTTAAAATCTGACATATCATTTACACTTAAATGGTCCAAATACATTAAAAGGCAGAGACTGGCAGAATGGACTTTTAAAAACACAATCCAACTATCTGGTGTCTACAAGAAACTCACTTCAAATTATGTCCACACAAAAACCTGTACACAATTGTTCACAGTAACTTTATTTCTAATAGCCAAAAACTGAAAAATAACTACAATGTCCTACTATGCGTGAACAATTAAACTTTAGTACATCTAAAACAGAGAATACTACTTGGCAATAAAAAATAAACTGTTCAGGCCAGTGTGGTAGCTCACACCTGTAATCCCAGCACTTTGGTAGGCTGAAGCAGGCAGATCACAAGGTTGGGGGTTCAAGACCAGACTGGTCAACATGGTAAAACCCCGTCTCTACTAAAAAATACAAAAATTAGCTGGGCATGGTGGCTCATGCCTGTAATCCCAGCTACTTGGGAGGCTCAAGTAGGAGAATTGCTTGAACTGGGACCCAGGAGGCGGAAGTTGCAGTGAGCCAAGATCGTACTGCCGCACTCCAGCCTGGGCTACAGAGTGAGACTCCATAAAAAAATAAAATAAATAAACTGTTCATATGTAATAACATGGATAAATCTCCAAATAATTGTGCTAAGTGGAAAAAAAAAGCCAATCTCACAACGGTAATATTGTATGATTTCACTTATACAAGAATTTTGAATTGACAAAATATAGGAATGAAGATGAGATTAGTGGTAGCCAGAGGTTATAAGAGGGGTAAGGAAACGAAGTGGCTATAAAAGGGCAACCGACATGAGCGATTCTTGTGGTAATGAAAATGTCCTCTTTTGACTGAATTAGTGTTAATACTCTAGTTGTGACACTACATGACAGTTTTGCAAAATATTAGTGTCAGGAGGAAGGGGTAACAAGTACACAGTACTGCTATGTTTACCATCTTTGCAACCTTTTATACATCTTTATTTCAAAATAAAGTTTTTCTTAAAAGCAGTGATTCTCAGTGTACTAGGCTTTTCACTGCTAGAACTATACATAGAAACTTGATACTAATAAAAACTTCCATGTTACCTGGGTTCATCTTTACCCATTAAATCCATCATTTCTATATTAGGGCCCATACAGCTGGAGTGAAGCCTTAGGTCAAAAGCAGTATGAACAAGAATAGAACAGGCAACTTCATCCATCAATCTAAAGGCAATTGTTTACTCTGGTTAAAGTGGTAGTGACGATTTAAAAAATATATACCAGAATGGAGCTCAAGAGTCAATGAAATGTCTCTTAACTTCTGTTTGGAATGGAGACATATTCCAAAACAAAAACAAAACAAAACAAAAAAATAAGAGCAATTACACTTCCTTGGCCAACTTTCAAAAGATGTAGTTGCAAATTACATAGACCTTTAAAGAAAGGAATAAGAAATGAACAATAATTTCCCTATCAAGATAGCCTATTGATGGTTTTAAAAATAATTAGTAAGAGGAAGCCATGAATGGGCTGTAAGTTATTATTCACAGGCTACAAATAAAAGAAAATAACAATCCTGGACAACATAGTGAGACACTGACTCTACTGAAAATGAAAAAACAGCCAGGCATAGTGGCATGTGCCTGTGTTCCCAGCTACTCAGGAGGCTGGGGTGAGGGACTGCTTGACTCTGGGAGGTTGAGGGTGCAGTGAGCGATGATCGTGCCACTGCACTCCAGCCTGGATCATTGTATTCATCTGTTCTCACACACATCAAGAACTATCTAAAACTGGATAATTTATATAGAAAAGAGGTTTAATTGGCTCACAGTTCCACCGGCTATAAAGGAAGCATGGCTAGGGAAGCCTCAGGAAACTTACAATCATGACATAAGGCAAAGAGGAAGGAGGCACGTCTTACATGGCCAGAGTAAAAGGAAGAGAGTGAAGAGGGAGGTGCTACACACTTTCAAACAACCAGATCTTGTGAGAACTCACTTACTGTCACTCATGAGAACAGCAAGGAGAAAATCCACCCCCATCATCCAATTGCTTCCCACCAAGCCCCTCCTCCAACACTGGGGATTACAACTTGACAACAGATTTGGGCTGGACACAAATCCAAATCACATCAGCCACACAGCAAGACTCAAAATAAAATCTCAAAATAAAATAAGTAAAAAGAGTCTCTTTTCTCTACTGTAATTCTTGGCCCCCAAAGGCAACCACAATTTAAGTGTCTTGTAACTCATTCTTCTAAAATAAAGATAACATATATATCTACATATTTATATATTATTTTTAAAATAGCAATCACTTAAAAGATCATACTTGCTTATATTAAATTTTTTCCATAGCAGCAGACACAGATCAACTTAATTTCTTATAACATCTATTACACCACCAATTTGTTTAACCAGTTCCCATTTTGATGGATGCATTGGTGTTTCCAGTTTTTTGCTGATATAAACAATGTGGAAATAAATATCTATCTCTCCTTCACTTTCTATATATGCATGAATCGTTATCAAGTGTGTGTCAGTATGTGTATATACATATATACTTTTTATATGTGTGTGTGTATGTAAATATATGTGCATGTGTGTGTGTATGTATAAAGTTTTGTTACTGTAACAGCAAATTCCTAGCAGGGAGATGGCGTGGTCAAAAATGAACTCACGTTTCTTTTTGGGGGCACTACTGCTAAATACTATGCACAGACAGACAGTATCAATTTACATTCCTAAAAACAGTAGGAGTGTATCAAAACCTTTGCTGACCAGCAACAGTGGTTCATGCCTGTAATCCCAGCATGTTGGGAGACTGAGGCAGGAAAATTGCTTGAAGCCAGGAGTTCAAGACCAGCCTGGGCAACACAGTGAGACCCCAACTCTACCAAATAAAATGTTTTAAAGTTTAGCTGGGCGTGGTAACATGTTCCTGGAATCTCAGTTACACGGGAGGCTGAGGCAAGATCACTTAAGCCCAGTTGTTCAAGGTTACAGTGAGCAATGATCACACATCTGCACTCAAGCCTGAGCAACAGAGTGAGACCTTGTTTCTAAATTTTAAAAAAATTTGCCAATATGATTAAACACTATAGTAATTTCATTCTAATTTTTACCAGAATAAGACCACTATTTTGAGTAATTTTATTATGGTTATCACTACTTTCATTTCTTTTTATGAAAATTTACCATTTTTATCCTATGCCCTTTTCCTACTAGGCACCCACTTACTTTTTGTATTGATTTGCATATAAACTTTATAAATGAAAGCAATTAGCCCCGTCATATGACTTACAAAGATGCTCTGTCAGTTTGTCTTTGATGATTCAAATCCTTTTATAATGTATTTTTCTAGTTTTATAAATGTTTCATTCTACACAGTCAAACTTGTCAGTCAGTCCCTTCTTATGCACCATTAGAATTTGGTATTCTTTTTTGTATTCTGGATAAGTACTAACTAAAGTTTGAAATTGGGTAACATTAATCATTATAGAATATTATCATTAGTTGCTGAAATAAGATGTTTTATTTAAAGGGAATATATATAAACTATTAAAGTTATATTTAATGTTACAATCATCAATATGATTGTAATCATATAATTCAGAAATAAAATGAGTACTAAAGTAAATCCCAAATACATCTGCCACTTTGCATTAATTAGTTAACCAAGGGTATCAAATAGAGTAACCAAGTGGTAAACATTAAAACTCTAAAAACACACTGATGATTTTAACTCATCATAAGCCTATTTGTTATTTTTCATATAAATTTGTTAACAAATAATAATTGTATTTTAAAGCCAAAATATAAAATGAAATACTAATTTTATTTTAGGTAAGTAACATAAAACACAGTGTTTCACAAAGTATTTTTAGTTCTTTATTTTGGTACACTATGCTACTATAAAAGACCAAAATGTTTTTAGAGCAAAGAAAACGATAGTTATGCAAGCAAGAACAATAAGCAAAGGAGACGGATTGTTTGAAACTCCTATACTTACCACCATGAATGGTATCTAATGAATAGTTTGAAAACTATGTTCATCTATACATTACTTAACAGCATTTAGTAAATCTACTCTCTCACTGTAACCACAGGGCGCTCCATTTGATGTCTTCTTTAATTACGTAAAAAGTAATATGTTTAATCAAGAAATATAAGCAATGCTTCTTTAAAATAAAAAGCACAGAAAAGTACTGACCATGGTTCTTGATGTTATTTCTAAAATAACAGTCTCTTAAACGAAACTCAAATGCATGCATGCACGGACAATGTTTTATTTTAATAGAACTAAGAATAAATCAGTAAGAACACTGTATTTTAAAATAAAGTATGATTTGATTTCCCAAGAAAAAGCAGTATGATACGGCACCACTACAATTTTAAAAGCAAAATGTCCACTTTTCAAAGGTGGTTAGAAATACTATTTATTAGGAAAGCATCTGGAAATGTAAATCCAAAAATGCACTTGTAAAATAATTTTAATACTGAATTTACAATATGATAGTATTTTTCTTTGAAAGACTGGTAACAACTCAACTCAAATGTTAGGTTTGTCCTAAAGAAAATAGCTAATTTAAATTGTTTATATCAAATTAAATCTACTTACCAGTGAATCTGCATCAGGGCATTCCCTATTAAAGCAAAATATCAGAAATATTCGATAATTAGAATTGTCTGCTAATTACAGTTGTTTAAAATCTTTACTTTGGTACTTAAAAGCTTTTATTTAAACTCCACAAAAATATTTAGATGAATCAAACCATGAAGATTAAAACATACTAAATTATTTTTAAATTAAAAAATAAGGCATTCTTAGTCCCATACTACCTGACAAAATAAAAAACAAACAGCTTACAATCAGCTTACATTATTCTTTGAGAGCTTCTAAGTATTCTAAACCTATTTTCAAAAGTAATTCTTTTCCATGAATATACTCACACATCAAGAAAACTGTCAGTCCTATAAGGCTTTCTACTAGCTTTTAGTCAAGTAAAGCAAGTTAAAAAAATTTCCTTAAAGAAAGCTTGACTTAAAAAAAAAAAAAAGTCAGTATTAAGTGGCAGCTGGTCTAAAAAGCTAAAACTACTGGAAAAAATACAATTTTTAAACACTTCAGTTTCATTTGAAGTACTTTCTATAACTTAGTATACACAAAAGTCAAAACCAGTTTTTTCCAAATATACTACATGAATAGACTTCCAGTTGGGTAACTTTCTTATGTAATATGTAGTTAAGAACTGAAATTCTATCATTTAACTGATAAACAAGTATTGAATTTGCATATAAGCTAGTGAAAACTATTATTTAAAATGTAAAACTAAAACATAAAGAATATCTAAATATGTACAACTAAAGACAGTGAGGTCATAAAAAATGAGATTAGAAGAATTTCTATGTATGCACTCTAAAATAAATTCACAAACAAAAATTAACAGTACAGATTTAAAAGGCTTTTGGACCTCTGACTTGTAACAGTTAATGAACACAATGCAGGTTGAGCATCCCTAATCCAATAATCTGAAATCCAAAGTTCACCCTATCTGAGACTTTTTGAGCACTAACAGGATGCCCAAACGAAATATTCCTTGGAACATTCTGGATTTCAGATTTTTGGTTTAGGAATGCTCAACTGGATGTGTTCTGCAAATATTTCAAAATCCAAAAACATCTGAAATCCAAAACACTTCTGGTCTCAAGCATTTCAAAGATATGCAATGTGTGGAGTCAGAATCTTAAACAAACAGATAAACGCTATTTATCCAAAGACTAAGCAAACAAAGAGGAATCTACAAAACTAAAGAATTTTCTTAAAGGAAAATAGGATAAAGCAGACTGAAAAAATTAAAAAGGAGAAAAATGACTACATGGCTCTTAATCCAAAATGAAGTATCAAAGAGACAGGGTAAATACAAACCCCAGGTGACCTTCTTTCTTTTTTTTTTTTTCTGACACAAAGTCTCACTCTGTTGCCCAGGCTGGAAGTGCAGTGGCGTGATCTTGGCTCACTGCAACCTCTGCCTCCCAAGTTCAAGCAATTTTCCAGCCTCGGCCTCCTGAGTAGCTGGGATTACAGGTGTGTACCACCATACCTGGCTAATTTTTGTATTTTTATTAGAGACGGGGTTTCCCCATGTTGGCCAGGCTGGTCTTGAACTCCTGAGCTCAAGTAATCTGCCCTCCTTGGTCTCCCAAAATGCTGAGATTACAGGTGTGAGCCACCACGCCTGGCCCCCAGGTGACTTTCTATTCACTTAAAAGTCACTTAAAATTGGACATTTTGAAATACAGCTTCCTTACTGGTAGATGAGAAACATTATAGTTTTAAAACTTATGCATACTCTCAAGATATGTTCCAGGAAAGGCATAATAATAACCCAATCCTTCTAGAGAATCGAGTTAATCAAGATGTTAAAATAGTTCTACTTTTTTTTTTTTAAGATGCTGTTTGAACATAAAAGAAAGTGTTAAAGTTCCAAAGAGTTTATTCTCTGGCTTTAAGCCAAAACACTCCAGTCACTGGAGTAAAGTACTTATCTGTTTGCCTTCACAGTGGGCTGTATGAGACCTGCAGAAGAAGCTCCAGCAAGAGGAAGCTCTGAAAAGGGCCTGTCTCCCACAATTACTAGCAACTCAAAAGGCTTCAGGCTATGAAAAGGCATACCAACAGCCTCTGGCATTTCAGGCAAAGTGAAAGCTAACATTTTTCCTGCCAAGAACTTTGAAAAAAGGTGATGATGGTACAGTGGTTTAAGCATTGGCTTTTTGCTCTAGTATTGCCATTGGTTAAAAAACAAAAACAAAAACCAATCTACTAAGTGGCTTAGTATCATATTGGGAAATTATTGATAAGGAAAACTGTTTTAAAAACCTGGTTAAAAAATACTATAATCTCCCTACACGAACAGTATGGAAACCCATACATTATCAAAGTATTTTAAGGACATAAGGACATGATTCTTTATAATATAGCCACTAACAGATGAACTAGATATATTTTAAACGTTTACTTACTAATCAATTGATCAGATTTCAATATGTACTGCTATCATTATAAAAACAGATTAGGTTTCACCCTCTTAACAAAATATCCCCTTCATAAATGCTCAAGAAAGATATTTGCAAAAGAGATGATAACTATAGATATAAATCACTTGGCGGTTGGTCTTGATTCGTTAAGCAAATACTACTTGGGAGAGGGGAAGAGACAGTCATTTAAAATGAGAGAAATTCTAAGAAACTCAAAAAGAAAGCAAGATTATCCAAAGCACAAACTATTCTCTTTCTTTTTTTTTTTTTTTAAGAGAAAAAGAAGGGGAAAAAAAGAAAAAGAGGGAAAAAGGAATATTACTTCATTCCTAAAACGGGTTTCAATAATGGCCGATCAATATTTTGAGTGTTTAAAGTGGTTAATGCATATTTTATGTGTTTAAAATGGAGACCTCTATTGTGTTTATTTGTTCTGGCTCTGAGTTCAAGTCCTGGATATCGTTAGCAATTTGTTGTCTCGTTGAATCTAAATCTCATTATGTGTCTTATGTATCTGGGTGTTAAGATCTCTTATTGTTACATTAATCCTTTTACCCCTGCATCCTTGTAGCTTTGAAATCTATTTTATTAAGTGTGAGAATTGCAACTCCTGCTTTTTATTTATTTATTTTTGCTCTCCATTTGGTTGGTGAGTTTTTTTCCATCCCCTTGTTTTGAGTCTTTGTATATCTTTAGATATATCGTTAGATTTTGTGGATAATGTATATTTTGTGTGTTTAAAATGGAGAGCTCTATTGAGTTTATTTGTTCTGGATCTTAGCTCCAGTCCTGGATATCGTTACCAATTTTTGTCTCGTTGAATCTAAATCTCATTATGGGTCTTATGTATCTGGGTGTTAAGATCTCTTATTATCACATTAATCCTTTTACCCTTGTATCCTTGTAGCTTTGAAATCTATTTTGTCAAATGTGAAAATTGCAACTCCTGCTTTTTATTTATTTATTTTTGCTCTCCATTTGGTTGGTACGTTTTTTTTTTTTCCAACCCTTTATTTTGAGTCTGTGTGTATCTTTGGATATACCGTTAGATTTTGTATGTATCTTTTGATTGGGAGATTTGGTCGATTTAAATTTAGGGTTGCTGCCATTTGATATTAACTGGCTATTTTGTCCTTTCGTTGATAAAAATTCTTCTTTATGTTAATGCTCTTTACTTTTTGGTGTATTTTTAGAAAGGGTCATACTGGTTGTTCCTTTCTGCGTATAATGCTTCTTTTAGAAGTTCTTGTAAAGCAGGCCTGGTGGTAATAAAATCTCTGAGTACTTGCTTGTTCCTAAAAGATTTTATTTTTCCTTCAAATGTAAAGCTTAAATTGGCAGGATATGAAATTCTGGGCTGAAAGTTCTGTTGATTAAGTATATTGAATATTGGCCCCCACTCTCTTCTAGCTTGTAGGGTTTCCGTTGAGAGATCTGCTGTAAGCCTAATAGGCTTACCTTTATGGGTAACTTGATCTTTCTCTCTGGCTGCCCTTAATATTTTCTCCTTCGTTTCGATCTTGGTGAATCTAACGATTATGTGCCTTGGGGTTGGTCTTCTTGAGGAATATCTTTGTGGTGTTCTCTGTATTGCCTGGGGTTGAATAGTGTCCTGCTTTGCTAAATTAGGAAAATTTTCCTGGATAATGTCCTGGAGAGTATTTTCCAGTTTGACTTCATTCTCTCTGTCACATTCAGGTACACCAATCAAGCGTATATTAGGTCTTTTCACATAGTCCCATATTGCTTGGAGACTTTGCTCATTCCTTTTTATCCTTTTTTCTCTATTCTTGTCTTGTCGTTTTGTTTCATTAAGTTGGTCTTCGACCTCTGATACCCTTTCTTCTGCTCAATCCATTCAGCTGTTTAAGCTTGTACATATTTCACTAAGTTCTCATGTTGTATTTTTCAACTCCATAAGTTCATTTGTATTCCTCTCTATATGGTCTATTCTTTTCAGCATTTCATCTAACCTTTTTTCCAAGTTCTTAGTTTCTTTACTTTGGGTTAGAACAAGTTCCTTTAACTCCCAGAAGTTTCTTATCATCCACCTTTTAAAGCCTACTTCAGATAATGGAACACAGTCCTTTTCCATCAGGGCTTGTTCCGTTACTGATGAGTCCTTTTCCATCATGGCTTGTTCGGTTGCTGATGAGTCTTTTTCCAATAGGGCTTGTTCTGTTGCTGATGGGTTCTGATTTTGAGTATACTCGGCCTTCTTAGGCTGTTTTTTTCCCTTCATTGTAGATGAACCGCCTTTCTAATTAGGTTTCTGAGTCAACGTCCGACTTATTGATTCCCAGTGCTGGGATCCGAGCAACCCACTGTGGCAGCCTAAATAGCAGCGATAAGTCTGATGGTGCTCTTCTGCCCGGGAATCTCTGGTCTGGCTTCCCTCTTGAGTCCGCAACAAGCGGCTCTGACTTCCCAGAGCTCCAAACTCCGGTCAGTAGGGGAAGCAGTCCCGTTGGCTCTGCGTGAAGAGCTGCTGCGCCGAGACGCCGGCAAAACCACTGCGGCGGCCACAAGAGTCGCACTGGCGACCTGTGGGGCCCCTCCACTGGGAATCGGCTAATCGGTGAGTGACGAAAATTCGTCTAAAGATGTGGTGTTGTCTCGTTCTCTGAGCTTTCACTGGGAGCTACAATCCTGAGCTGTTAGTGGTCGGCCATCTTGGATCGATCTCTTATTTCACAAACTATTCTCTTATGTTAAAAATATGAGTGCCCATCAAATATTAAAGCTCTTGAGAATTCTGCTAATTATACTAGGGAAGTGGGGCTTTTCAATTAATGTTCAGCCAATGTTGGTGGGTCAACTAATCACCCAAGACTTTGATCAGTGTCTCCTCAATCAAAATGGACTGAGTAATCAAGGAAAGAAAGATTCCTTTAATTCTAGTTTGTCTCTAAATAATCATGGCTCAATTATTCTTAACCCCAGGTATACATTAGGAACCAAAGGGGCAACTGGGTGTGGTGGCTCACGCCTGTAATCCCAGCACTTTGGGATGTGGAGGTGGGCAAATCACAAGTTCAGGAGATAGAGAACATCCTGACTAACACGGTGAAACCCCATCTCTACTAAAAATACAAAAATTAGCCAGGTGTGGTGGCACGTGCCTGTAGTCACAGCTACTTGGGAGGCTGAGGAGAGCGAATCACTTGAACCCAGGAGGTGGAAAATGCAGTGAGCCAAGATAGAGCCATTGCACTTCAGCCTGGGTGACAGAGTGAGTCTGTCAAAGAAAAAAAAGAAAAGAAGGAATCAAAGGGGCTGCTTAAAACAAAAAAGAGCAAAAATTATGTTGAGGTCTCATGCTCAGAGAATCTGATTTAATTGGTCTGAGGTTGGACCTGGCATAGGTATATTTATTTTAATTTCCCAGGAAGTTCTAATGTATAGCCAAAGTAAAACAAAACAAAACTTTGGTTAGCTAATCTAACTCAATTTCTTGTATGTTTTTTATATATTCCTTGTATATTAATTTTTTATTTTTAAAGGAAGGTAAATCAGGCTGGGCACAGTGGCTCATGCCTATATAATCCCAATATTTTGGGAGGCTGAGGTGTGTGGATCAACTGAGGTCAGGAGTTCACAATCAGCCTGGCCAAAATGATGAAACCCAATCTCTACTAAAAAACAAAAAAAATTGGCCAGGCGCAGTGCCTCAAGCCTGTAATCCCAGCACTCTGGGAGGCCAAGGCGGGTGGATCACGAGGTCAAGAGATCGAGACCATCCTGGTCAATGTGGTGAAACCCCGTCTCTACTAAAAATACAAAAAATTAGCTGGGCATGGTGGTGCGTGCCTGTAATCCCAGCTACTCAGGAGGCTGAGGCGGGAGAATTGCTTGAACCCAGGAGGCAGAGGTCGCGGTGAGCCGAGATCGCGCCCTTGCACTCTAGCCTGGGTAACAAGAGCGAAACTCCGTCTCAAAAAAAAAAAAAACCACACTGGACGTGTTGGTGTGTGCCTGTAATCCCAGCTACTTGGGAGGCTGAGGCAGGAGAATTGCTTGAACCTGGGAGGCAGAGGTTTCAGTAAGCCGAGATCAGGCCATTGCACTCCAGCCTGGGCAACAAGAGAAAAACTCATCTCAAAAAAAAAAAAAAAAAAAAAAAGAGAAGGTAAATCAGATTTATAAGTGGACCAAATATTCCATCTAAAAATGAACTAGTATTATAAAACATTAGGGCATTTCCCTCCTCTATTTAACATTTTCCATCAATGTTTATATATATATGTCACTACGTGCCTATACACTTAGAATTGTCTAGAAGGATTTTCATCAAGTAGCTGACCAGAGATTTTCTCTTAGGCATCAAGACTTTGATGAAATTTTTAGTTTTCTCTGTACTTTTAATTTTTTAAAATACACATGTATCATTTTATAAAAATAAGGATATTTTAAAATTTTTCATTTCTAGACATTAAAGCTTTTGTCTATAATGTCTTAAAAATTTTAAATAAGTAAAAAAAATAAATAAAAACAAAAAACAACAACAAGAAACAAAAACAAAAAAAACACACGCACACAAAAAATTTTAAATAAGTAATAAGTTAATACTCTGATCTAAAACCAAAGGAATTGGCAAATACATTTATTAGTATTTAGAAAGGTTTTTCACACCTTACACATATACTTTTGAATTATTCCCTAGATACTTTTCTCTTACCAAATTCAAAACAGTTTTATTCTTAATCACTTATTAAAACAAAAAGGATTTTGACAATATTTAAAATACTTACACAGATTCTGCATCTTTTTCCTTTTTAATGATTCCTGGCAAAGCAAAAGTCTTTCTTTTCCTTGGTTTTATACCTTTAAAATAAATAGATATTGTTACAGAGACATAACCGTTCCTGATAAATATATTAAACTTATGAATACATCTTGCAACTTCACACACAATTTTCTCATAACTGCTGATGCTAAATATGGATGACAGAAATAAAATTATCAACCACTCAACCCTATTGGCTAGACTTTTCTTATGTTAATAAAGCATAGCCTATTATTCATCAAAAGAGCATAACATTTACTTGATAGATAAAATTTTTTCTTTTCCTAAGTCTCCCCTAAGTCACCTTACATATAATAAGCATATGGAGATATCTTAAAACTTCCAAGAAAGTACATTATTCATTGTACCAAATTTTGTTATAAACGTCAAATCATGTTATAAAGGTCAAATCATGTTTGCTTTCTAGAGGGTCACAAAATATAAATGTATTGTTTTAGATAAAAAGATGATATAGCAGACCCAATAGAAGTATAATATGGGGCCAGGTGCAGTGATACATGCCTATAATCCCAGCACTTTGGAAGGCCAAGGTGGACAGATCACTTGAACTCAAGAGTTCAAAACCAGTCTAGGCAACATGGTGAAACCTTGTCTCTACAAAAAAATACAAAAAATTAGATGGGTGTAATGCCTGCGGTCCTAGCTACTCAGGAGGCTGGAGTGGGAGGACTGCTTGAGTCCAGAAGGTAGAGGCTGCGGTGAGCTGTGATCATGCCACTGCACTCCACCCTGAGTGACTAAGTGAGACCCTATCTCAAAAATTTAAAAAACAAAACAAAAAAAAGAAACCAAAAAAACAAACAAAATAACATGAAAAGTTTACAATATGGCATTCTTGTGTCCATATGTTATTCCTAATACAAACAATGCTATAAATAAATTCTACCTTAACTGAGAAGTAAAATTACCTTTCATTTTCCTAAAAAGGCAATTCTTCATCCTCTTCTTTTATGACAAATTATTTTTAAAGGCCAGTCATACTATTCACTGTTGACAGAATTCAGCACTTAAGGCCCAGCACAGTGGCTCGTGCCTGTAATCCTAAGCACTTTGAGAGGCCCAGGTGAGCAGATCACCTGAGATCAGGAGTTTGGGACCAGCTTGGCCAACATGGTGAAAGCCTGTCTCTACTAAAAACACGCAAAATATTAGCCAGGAGTAGTGGTGCACATCTGAAATCAGCTACTTGGGAGGCTGAGGCAGGAGAATAATCTGAACCAGAAGGCGGAGGCTGCAGTGAGCCAAGATCATGCCACTGTACTCCAGCCTGGGTGACAGAGCAAGACTCTGTCTTAAAAAAAAAAAAAAAAAAAAAAAGAATTCAGCACATAAAACTTAGGTGTTTACTCTTCAAGAATTGAGCAGAAGAGGCCAGGTGAGGTGACTTATGCCTGTAATCCTAGCACTTCGGTGGCTGAGGTGGATGGATCACTTGAGTTTAGGAGTTCAAGACCAGCCTAGCCAACATGGCAAAACTCCATCTCTACAAAAAATACAAAATTAGCTGGACATGCTGGCACACACCTGTAGTCAAAGCTAATTGGGGGGCTGAGGTAGGAGGATTGCTTGAACCTGGGGGGTCGAAGCTGTAGTGAGCAGAGATGATGCCATTGCACGCCAGCCTGGAAGACAAAGTGAGACTTTGTCTCAAAAAAAAAAAAAGAAGTGAGCAGTAGAGATGTTAGCCCCTCATCTTACAGATGAGAACATTCGAGAAGGGTTGTTGTTGTTGTTGTTGTGACAGGGTCTTACTCTGTCGCCCAAGCTGGAGTGCAGTAGTACGATCATGGCTCACCACAGGCTCCTCCTCCCAGGCTCCAGCAATCCTCTCACCTCAGCCTTCCCAAGTAGCTGGGACTACAGGCACACACCACCACACCCGCTAATTTTAAAAGTTTTATTTGTAGAGATGGGGTCTCAGCATATTTCCCAGGCTGTTCTCTAACTCCTGGCCTCAAGTAATCCTCCTGCCTCAGCCTCCCAAAGTGCTGAGATTAGAAGCATGAGCCATTGTGCCCAGCGAAATGACAGTAATATTAACATTAATTAATGAAATGTTACCCATTGTACAATTAGCACCACACATTAATGTACAGTGATGAGTTTCATATTCACAACATTAGAAGGCTTAAACAGGGATGTCAATGAAGAAAACTATTTCAATGTATATTTAAAAACAAATGCATGCTATACTTAATCTTTAAAAATAGATAATCTAACACATTAATATTCTTTTGGGAAAATCTATTATTTATTAAGGAACAAGTAGTATTTGCAGGCCTTCAAACTAATTTCAGATTTTTATATCACTCCATAGATAATGCTGACATCTAGGGACAGCAGTCCCTCCTTATTTGTTCAATGAAATGAAGATACTAGCTAGTTGCCATGTGCATTAACATATCATAACTAATCAACTTACCTTCAACTGCACTAGCAGTGTCACATTCTTCAAATTCAATGAGGCCTAGAAAAAAAAAAATTGAAAAACTTCTAGTAGAAAAAACAGTTGAAAAAAATTATCAGGTAAATTTTAATACATTTTTTACACTTTAAATATTTTATTGTAATTGACAACATATCGTTTTAATTGTTCTGACATGGTTCTAATTGTTATCTAATAGTTAATTCAAATACCAGTAATAAATTTTAAAAATCAAATAATTCCAACAGCAAAAAACAACTGAGACTAGCCCATTATGATCACAGTAACTATTGAAAACCCATTGTATGTGATGCCACAGAACTAGAGACACAAGAACTAATATGTAATTTCTGCTTTCAAGTAGCTGGCAGTACTGCTGATGAGGGGAAACAAGTGTGGTAAGAGGTGACTGCTGAATCCTTGATGGTGTTCATGGGAAGAACAGGGCTACCAAGATAGTAAATACTACTAGAATGTAAGCTTGGGACCTCATCTGTCCTGTTCATCACTTGTGTGTCTTCAATACTTAAAACATGCTAGGTAAACAGTAAGTCGAGTAGAAAAGTAAATATTTATTGAATGAATAAATAAACTACAGACTAGTCAAGCGGTAGGCTTGGGGTTATAATCCAGATCTCTCTGACTGTATAGCAGGTCAAGGAATGTGAACTACAGCTTGCAAGAAACAGGAAAAGTTTTCATGTAAGATCATATACATCTACCCCATAAAGTGATCTTCAAGGAAAATTAATTTAGCACTGCTATGAGTGATAGATTGCAGAAGAGGAGGATGATAAAGTAGAAATCATTAGAAAACAATTAAAATAGTCCTGAAATGACTGACTGCTGAGACTAGCCTTAAATGCCATAAAATATAGTACACTTCACATACATGAAATATCAAATTATTTGGTAGTAGAGAAAGTAGCAAAACATAAATTACTCTCCTACAGAAATATCCCAAAAGCTAAATATGAGACTAAAAAAATTATCTCCCACTAAGCTATCATTTTAGTCCTTTTTATAATAAATTCATGAAAGTCTAGCATTTTTTGTGAAATAATTTTTAATTTATTAATGGTAATGAGTATAACTTGCTATATGAAGAAATTTTAAAATAGAGCTTGAAGTAGAGTAGATAACAGAGGATTTTGTTACTGTTTCTTCTGAGATGTGAAGCTTAACTATGTACAAATTCATGATCAGTATTATTACTGATCACTCCATTATAAAAGAAAACCACTGATTAACAAGAAAGATTTCTCTACAAGCAGCAGGATCTAAAAATATTGGCTTAATGTCCCTCTCCCTCCCTGCCAATCTAAGATTTATTTGTTTGATTCTAGTTTCCATTCAAATGAAATAAACATTTGGTAATAAACAGAATAAAACAGTCATAAAAGTGAGTTGATAAACAAGGTCCTAATCAATTATTAGTATCTTCCTTACTAGTATATTCTTCTAAATATAGACTAAGACTTGAAAAAAAAAAGTTTGGCCGGGCGCGGTGGCTCAAGCCTGCAATCCCAGCACTTTGGGAGGCTGAGGCGGGTGGATCACAAGGTCGGCAAATCGAGACCATCAGGCGTGTGCCTGTAATCCCAGCTACTCAGGAGGCTGAGGCAGGAGAATTGCCTGAACCCAGGGGGCGGAGGTTGCGGTGAGCCGAGATTGCGCCATTGCACTCCAGCCTGGGTAACAAGAGCGAAACTCCGTCTCGAAAAAAAAAAAAAGTTTTTCACTTCTACCCAAAAAAGTCTTAAAGAGTCAGAAAATAACCCAATTAAAAATTTAAGGACTTTATTCAAACCCATCCTGCAAATCTGGAAGCTGAGAAATGATTTAATAAAAGGGTACTGAGCTTGTTCTTAGACTCCCTCAGAGGCCTATCATAACAATTTACATTGAGATGAGAGCAGACTGAAAAATCAATAAGGATAAATAAATTTAAAATGTGCATCTCATAATTAGCAACTTTTCACTTACTATAAAAATTATGAAGAATAATAAATCTCTACCTATGTTACCAACAGCTTATTATATATTTTCGGCTTTTCCAAGTACTAATAAAGCTTGAGAAAATATAATCATCTGTCAAATAAAGCTGAGAAAGAGTTTACCAAAAAAAGGCAACCAGGCATGTGGTTAGTCAAAAATTCTCCTACAGCTACACATCCACATAATTTCTACCCATTAACTATTTACAGAATCTCTAATGCTCAGGCCATGGGCTTACTTTAAAGGAGAAAAAAAGTCTAAATAAAAACAAAATACCAATGCCAAACAAACTGCCTTGCTTACAAATACCAAATATATATTATCTAGAAGGACTTTTACATCATTATCTTAACAAATACGGTACATACAGAAAAAAACTGTAAAATTTTTGGATGACTTCATATATGTAAAACTAGTAATGAAATCCCTTAACTATAAAATCAATCCCTTTAAACAAAATTCTTCATCTTTTTCTCACAAAACTCTTTTCCTATAGTAAACGTATCTTGATTTCTCTTATTTTTTCTAAACAGTCTCTTAAAATCCATTTGAAATAGAAAAACGTCCAAAAAAACCCAAAAGAAAAAACATTTTGAAATACAAGATACGAAATTACTTCAAATCATAAAATATATATTAAAAACTTTAAATTGAGTACCATCCACATAAACTTTCTATTAAAAATAGAAATAATGATTTCTGATATAAAAAAACTAAATACAACCTTTCTTAAAAAAACCATTAAATCATGCATGAAAAGGTTTTCTTTTACAAATGGCATATGCTCCACATGCTGCTTCACATGGCAAGGCTTTGCGTGCCTGGCTCAGTGCCAGTTGACAACTCAGCTGGATATCAATGCACATTCTAACCCCCCTTGTAGCATGTCACTTCTGAATGTTTCACAAGTGGAAAGTTTATTCAGCATCTCCTTCAAATGGCAGTCCACTGCCCATCATTCTGCTATTTAATCATAAGACAAGTTATTTTTTTTGACAGTACTAAAGCCAGAGTGAGAGTCTTAATGAATAGTTTGCTACAACTGGAATTTCAACTGTTTTAGACTCAATTAATTCTTTTGTCAAAATAAATAACTGCTCTTAGCACTTAGATTTTATGTTGGGTCACAAGGGCAATTTAGTTTGTATAAAAGCAAATAAAACCATTTTGGCTCTGTCTCTTGATGCTCTTTTACACATTATTTTAAAACGCCACTATGAGTTCAATTAAACTCACAGAAGAACAACTCTAAGAGGTCAATAATTGAAAGCAAAACAATTCTTATATATGATGCTTTAATCACCAGATAGGAATAAATAACTGCTATTTTTAAAAAGCCATCAACCTAAAGAATTCATTCAAACCTAATTTGGATCAAAACTTTGAAAAGATGTTAAAGAGGAAAAGCAATTTACTTAACAGTAATCTCTGATCACCATAAACGATTTCTGAAATGAGGAAGAGTATAAAATATGAAAAATGTAAAATATTTAATTAATCATCCCCTTTGCTTCGGAATCAATCCTAAATCTCAGGCCATCAACAGGACGAGTTTGTAATCTTATCTAGTTAAAAACTACCCTCAAAATTCAAATAGTAAGTCTGGGCTATTCAAATCAAACATATTTCTGCTTCTAATCAGAGCTAAACACATACAAACATTCTCAGTCATACACTAAAAGTTTTAAAAAAGGAATGACGATTGTGCATGTGCAAGCACCGAGAGAGGTATGACTCATAACGATGGAAATCAACGACTACATTTTCAAGCTTGCTCCTGGGCCTGTGGAATGCAACACAGTCACATTCCCATATGCCTGGGATGATGGGCCAGGCAAGTTAACACAAAATAGAGAATCACACTCCAGCTTGTGGTGATATGCAAAAGGCATGGAAGTTCAAATTCAAATTTTGATACTCTTTCTGAATTAGATACTGTTTTTGAACCTAGGTTGTATCATTTATAAAAGGTGGATAACAAATATAGCATTTGCTTTCTCTCTCTCCGCCCCCCCACATAGCTTTATATAATTTTTTTCTTTTGCTAAACCATTTGAAAGTTGCAGACATTAATGACACTTCACTTCAGGAGTATGTGTTTTAATAAAGGACTTGCAGAATCAATTTCTTCAATTCAGTGGTTCCAAACCTCATGAGAGACTCCTGGTGCAGTGCTTCTAAACTATATTAAGTATGAGAATCACCTGGAGAACTTCTTAAACCAAAGACTACTGGACCCCACTCCCAGAGTGTTCTATTCAGAAGGTCTAGGGAGGTCAAATATTTGCATTTTTAACAAATTCCTAGGTGATGCCGCTGGTCCTGTAAACCCATTTTGAGAAATACAGTCCTAGTAGACTCTGTGACCACTGCCAGATATTTAATTAGTCTAGACAGTGCTTCTCCAATTATACCGTGCGTATAAAGCCCAAAGCATCTTGGGGTCTTATTAAAATACAGATTCTGATTCAGTAGGACTGAGATAAGGTTTGAGATTCTCCATTTATAAAAAGCATTCACGTAGTGTGATGCTACAGGTTCTCAACAACAGCTGCAAGTCAGAATCAGCTGAGGAGTTTTAAAATATAGTGGTACCCACCCTGGACCAATGAAGTCAATTTCTTGGCTGGGCACAGTGGCTCACACCTGTAATCCCAGCACTGTGAAAGGCTGAGGCAGGCAGATCACCTGAAGTCAGAAGTGCAACACCACTCTGGCCAACATGGTGAAACCCTGTCTCTACTAAAAATACAAAAATTAGGTGGGTGTGGTGGTTGGCCCCTGTAAACCCAGCTACTGAGAGGGCTAAGGCAGGAGAATCACTTGAACCCAGGAGGCAGAGGTTGCAGGGAGCCAAGAACATGCCACTGCACTCTAGCTTGGGTGACAGAGCAAGACTCCATCTCAAAAAAAAAAAAAAAAAAAGAAAGAAATCAATTTCTGTACATTAAAAATAAAAGAAAAAAAAACTCCAAAAATAACTCTCATATGTACCTGATATGGTTTGGATGTCTGTCCCCTCCAAATCTCATGTGGAAATGTGA